AAATGGCATCATGTATGACGTCGAATGGAAAGGTAATCTTCTTCTGCTCATACATCTTTGTAATCCATTGAGGAAGACAATGTCTTCAAATCCACTGCTCCTCACTTTTTGGCGAGGGCTTCTCAAAACAAACCAAAGAGCTCGTCTCTGTACTCTGCTACGCTTCCAAGCAGTTCGTCTTTTTGTGCCGGCCGACCCAAGCAATCAGCCCCGAGGGAGGGGGGAAAGGCTCGGAAAGCTCATTGAACCTCTCTTGAATGGCTTACATACCAGGCCGCAGAGGCAGATTGTTTCAACATTGTTCGCAGAACTCTTTCTCTTTGTAAGAAAAATGGCAATAAATAAGATAAATTGTGCACTCATAACAACAGCAAAAATCAAGAAAGTTAAGTTCCATAACGTTTTCTTGTGACTGTCATCAGTGGAACGCCGTCACATAAAAATGTAATAACTAAAACACACGCTTATATCCATGTGTGTGTGTGTGTGTGTGTGTGTGTGTGTGTGTGTGTGTGTGTGTGTGTGTGTGTCCCATATGGTGCAGTGGTATGCAGTGATCTAGCCAAAGCCGGCTCAGCCGGCATTCTGCCGGCTGGGAGGGCGACCTGCCGGCTGAGACAGCTCCAAGGGTAATTTTGGCCGGCTGCAGTCACCCCCATGTAGACTGTAGTGCCCCATACTAGGCGTAGGTATGTACAGTACAGTACAGTACGTAGCACTGGCTACTCAGGCTCAGTGCTAGCTCTTCACTCAAGCTCAAATGCACTTGAGTATGCACTTGAGTACGTCAGTAAAATGTAACAGGTTGGGTCATGGTTCGCTGCTTCTGGTGGTGTACATGGCTGTGGCTAGGCTTGGTCTTGTCAGATGACCAATGATTATGTACACTGCATGCAGACATGACCTTGGTGAACACATGATCCATGCTCATGTAGCTGTTTGCTTCCTTTTTCATATTTTGTTAATTTACCTATAATCACATTCACGTTCACAACTGCCTCATGAATGCCCATAATTGGACGAAGCGAAAGGAGATGCAAGCTGCAATGAAAGATTTGTAGTGGTGTGTGTGTGTGTGTCTGTGTAGATACATGACTGATGGCGGGGTCTGGGGGCGCAGCCCCCAGAACGATGCATTTTAACTAGAACGTGTTGGCCGGCTGGCATAAAATCCTGGCTAGACCTCTGGTATGTGCAGCGATTCCAATCGATAGGTTGCGGGTTCGATTCCCGACGATTATGGTCACGCACGTCTTTCTTCTCTTTCTCAGACTCTTCCTGACTTTTCTTTCATTCTCCTGGGTGGTTACCAACAGCCAGTGTATGCGGGAGTATGTGGTGTGGTGTGTGTGTAGAAAAAGAAAAAAAAGAAAGAAAAAAAAGAAAAAAAATTGAAAAAATCAAAAATAGGGATTCACTGGCCAGAAAAAGTCACTTCAAACAGCTGTGTGGTGGATACCAGGCTAAAAATAGTGGCGGTCAATTCATCAGCCTTGCAAGCTGTTGAATGGTGTAATCCCAGCACAAGTTGCTATGTCTAACATAGCTGTTCGCTATCATCGCTCCCGCGATGGGCATGTCTGAGGTCTGAGGTGTGTGTGTGTGTGTATCGCTGTGTCTGTGTGCACGTGTGCGCGTGTACGTGTGTCTGTGTATTTGCACGCGTATGTGCATGTGTACCGCTGTGTCTAACTCCTGCAGGACGACCGGATCGATCTGATTGGCAGCCTGTGCCAGCACACAGTACTGGTGACGGAGAAAGGCCACATCTACGGCTGTGGGAGCAACTATGACCACCAGCTATCTAACGATATACCCAAGTCAACGTATGATCAATTCAAGGTACATGTACTGTATAGCAGGAAATTTTCGGACGGAATGTATTTTCGTACGATTTCGTACACGGCCTCTTCTGTACTGAAACTAATTCCGTGCTAAAATTTGTTCCTGTGAAGTCCTGTACACTATACATGCGTACCGCATGCGAACAGTGCATTTAGCATGCAGCACTGTACGAAAATACAATCCGTACGAAAGGTCGAAATTCGGCTTTGTCCGAAAATATTTCCGTGCGAAATTTTCCTGCTATACGGTGAAAGGAATTACTGTAAGTCAACACATTTTCGGCGCATATTTATTTTCAGCTATTTTCGGCCTGGCCGTATGTGACCGAACATGTGTTACAGCCGAAATTTAGTTTTGCAAGTTTCAGCGTGACAGTGTATACAGTCAGGAGCAGTACAGGCTGAACATTTAGTGCGGCCAAAATGTGTTTTAGCCCCGAGGGGCCGGAATTTGAATGGGCCGGAATTTGAATGGGCCAAAATTTGAATGGGCCAAAATTTGCATGGGCCAAAATTTGAATTGGCCAAAATTTGAATGGGCCAAAATTTGAATGGGCCACAATTTTGTAGACTTACAGTACTAAATCTGCGGAGAGCATGCTGTTTCGTTATTTGTGAACTCATCAGCGCAGCACAGAGAAAATGAGGCCGAACCTGAAAGGAATGAAAATAAAACTTACACAGTACTAGAGTTCTAGCAATAACGTGGAACACGGCAACACGTATTCAGGAATGGAACAGTGAATACACATTGTGATCCTGTCATCCCTCCTTTTCGACTAAATGTTGCGTCTTGGCTGGCCGTCTGAGTTTACATTGCACACTTGAAAGGATTGTTTGAACGGTAGTGGCTGCTTAGGTAGCTGAACGCATCCTTATCCGTGCTTCAACAAGAGTGAAGTGATGAAATTCTATTCACATCTATTATGGTACCCTTTCCCGATTTTGTCAGAGGTGTACGGATTCGATTTGGATCACAGGATGAATGAAGCGTCACTGATTCCTTAGATGAATGCCATTCAACGCAGCACGCAGAAGAAAAGAAGACGAGAAGTGGTGATGTTTCCTGCCTATCTTTCTTATCATGCTATTTTGTTTATCCATCCATCTGGTCAACCCCGCCATCTTACCCTTTTCTACTTTTTCTGTCTTCCCAGGGTACTCCGCGTAGGATATTCCTCAACTTTCGTGAGAATATCCGGGGTGTGGCAGTCGGTCGTCAGCACACCGTGTTTCTGACCGACGGAGGATTTGTTCACACATGCGGGTGAGTGTGTGCGTATGCTGGAGTATTGTCCAGGCGTGAACACGTTATTCCCTAGTTGAAGGAATGCGAAAGGCAAAGGCGTGAAGAAAAACGTGACTCTCACCACTAAGACTCACTTTATTCCTGTATCCCTGCAAAGACATTACGGATCTGGGATCGCAGGGCACACAGCTCTTTACTGCTCTAGCATGGTGGTCCCTGTCTCTTGCCACTCTAATAGAACTACAGTAAGCGACCTCTGGGTTTGGCGACCACCTGCTCTTAACCACCGTTTTTCCATGCACCGACAGTTCTACACAGACACTTTGGGACCTGGTTCTAAAGACCACCTGGCTTTAACGACCGCTTTTGCTTGCACCGTGGGGTGGTCGCTTAAACTAGGTTTTACTGTGTGATGCAAGTTGAATGGTGGATGAAATGAAGTAGTCTGGATTGGATTGCCATTGACGACCTAGGGCTACTCCACTTGGTCTGCTAAACACAAACTCTGACCGTCTCCTTTCTTCGGATTCTCCTGTTCGTGTGCTGCAGGTCCAACAGCAGTGGCCAATTGGGAATCGGCCCAACTCTACCGAATTCGGACTATCTTGTGTTTCTCGAAGATGTGGAAAAGATCGTCAAGATCAGGGCTGGGGTAAACCATACGATGGCTATTGATTGTGAGTGGAGACTAACACAAAGTTGATACATTTTCTTGTGCTGGCCAAATAATACTTACGTTGAAGGTGGAACCAAGTTTTTCTTGCATCTCAAGTTCCACGCTATGTCATCACCAGGCAAAAATAGTTCTATAGCTTAGGGGCCATCCGTAATTATCGATCTTTTTCACGAAACGAAAAAGTTTAGTTATGACCCACCCCCACCCACCCACCCCCCTGAAACGAAAAAAATTAAATGACTTGAGACTTTGTGCAGAAAGTGATCTTGATTGGCTGTTACAACACACACATATCCTTCGCATGCAAGCACTCTTTACCGGCAAGTAATAGTTACTTTTGTATACCGTACTGGCAATATATGTTGCCGCGTGACGCGTAACGCAGGGGGGTGCGGCGTAACGCGCGACCAGGCTAGTGCGACAAATTTTCGTTGCGTTCGTAATGCGCGTCCGGCGGGGTGCGGCGATCTTTTCATTGCAAAAAGGCTGAAAACTGTGAAAGCACGTGTACCGCGTGGTGAAAAGTTCAAAACTGGACGCAGCAGGAAGTCCTGCAATAGCAAAAAAAGGACTGCGGCAATATAGAAACCTGTGCAACGGCTCCTGTGCGACTTTGCATGTAACGCCCTGCGTGCGGCAAACATGTGCCAATGTAACGCTTCATGGCCTCACTGCGACCATATATATTGCCAGTACAGTAATTATGAAATCCATAACATTTTAGAATGATGCCAATAACTCACAGCGAGGTCACATTTTGTATGATTGTGCAAGTCAGTTATGTTTTCTTGGAAGTCTAGTACTACCGGTACTTCTTGACCATGGAAACATAATTCACCTACCACACACATACGCTGCTAAATAATTGGCACCTCTACGTCTAAACACGGGAATAGTACACATGCAAATCGTCAGAGTTCCGACATTGACATGATACTGCCAAAACAAGTCAACTTCAGAGCGGAAACAAACGCCATAGCTATCACAGACTTCAGTGGTCGTGCCTCGCTCGCAAATGAGAGCAGCATCGCTCCAGAATCGTTGTCGGAAAGCTCCGTAAGGTCGCACACACGCCGCGCTGCGCTGCCGTCAATCAGGTACGCCTAAATTTCCGTCTCTGGAAGACTGTCGACACGGGGATCACTCTCCATGGCTTTCCCACCATAAGCACGATCAGATTCTTCCAGGTACATTACGACGACATCGTCTTCAGCGGCTGGCGCTCCCCATATTTGCGTGAGAATTTACTTGGCGTGCGCCCCACTCCGTAATTTGAAAGTCTCTTGCATCGGCGGCTGGAACGAAGTATTTATCTATCTGTCGTCGGTACCGCGGTCCCATGGGCCCAGAGCGAATGACTGCTAGGTCCTCGTCGGAGAAGTCATCTCTGAGCACGAAAGAAACTCACGACTGCACTGAGTACAGAGTGGTATCAGTGCATCGTACTGCCGATCTACTTCGAAGTACACAATGAGTATGTATGCATGCATCATATCAATGCATGCAGTGCGCGTTGATTGTTCCGCTTTCGATGTTTTTTCAAAACGAAACCGGTTACTACCCACCCACCCATAAACGAAACTTTTTCGTTTCGTGAAAAGATCGAGAATTACGGATGGCCCCTTATTCCGCGAAGAAAATAACAAATCCTTTCTTCATCGGTATGGTTCCTTCTGCTTATACAAGAGCCCAAAATAGGTTTGCGCAATCCATGGTGTCCTGAATTTGAAATTGGTAGTTTTGTTTTTCTGCATCTTTGTTGGGCTGTTGTTGGTGCAGATCGTGGCAGGATCTTCATGTGGGGTTGTGGAACTCCACTAGGTCGTGAGCAGATCGTCTTCAAGCCAGTACAGATAAAAACGTAAGTTAGAGGATGATTGTACAGCCAACTTTGCGTACAACGACACTCGGCCGGGCATCAGGAAAGTGTCCTTATACCCGAAGTCTCGTTATATGTATTACAGTTAGATGGGACTTTGCTCTGGGCATGGAAATTCTGTCGTTATTCGCGAATTGTCGTTGTATCCGCAGTCGTTATTAGCTAAGTTGGCTGTATATGCCATTCCAGCCAGGTAGATTAGTACCCAAAAATTGGTTCGAAGGTTAATCAAGCAATTCAACCTCCACCACCACATGCGCTCTCTGGCCGGCCAACAAATGAATCTGTTGATTTTTTTCGTCTTCAGCATATATATATATATGTATGGAGCAAGAAATGACCATTTATTAGAGGTATATGGACATCATCATGTTATTGCCGCTATTCTCACATATATCCGTTCACTCTCGCAACAAATCAGTAGCACTGTTCCATTGTCATGTCTATACTTCACCCACACACACACGCATGCACACACACACACACGCACGCACACGTACACACACACACACACACACACACATACACACACACGCACACACACACACACACACACACACACACACACACACACACACACACACACACACACACACACACACACGCACACACATGCGCACGCACACGCGCACACACACGCGCACGCACACGCGCACACACGAGCACACACACGCGCACACACGCACACACACACACACACACACACACACACTAACTTCCACACTACCGTACTGGCAATATATGTTGCCGCAGTGAGGCCATGAAGCGTTACATTGGCACATGTTTGCCGCACACAGGGCGTTACATGCAAAGTCGCACAGGAGCCGTTACACAGGTTTCTATATTGCCGCAGTCCTTTTTTTGCTATTGCCGCATCATTTTTTTGCTTTTGCTGCATCATTTTTTCTTTTCATCCACATTGAAGGCACAGAAATTCAGTTTCTATCCAACTGTTACAAACCCGACGGCAAAGGGCGACAACAATATCACTAGAAGACTGTATATTTTAACTATCAGAGTGATCTCTTTGCATTCCCAACAATGAATTGAAAATATGGCCGAAAGCTCTGTCGCAATATTTAGATCAGAGTGATCTGTTCACAAAAAGATCTTTAAAAGGAAAGTGGCATAGGGGAAGAGCGCTTCCTCCAAAAACTACTTTTCACCACGCGGTACACGTGCTTTCACAGTTTTCAGCCTTTTTTGCAGTGCAAACTGCAATGAAAAGATCGCCGCACCCCGCCGGACGCGCGTTACGAACTCAACGAAAATTTGTCGCACTAGCCTGGTCGCGCGTTACGCCGCACCCCCCTGCGTTACGCGTTACGCGGCAACATATATTGCCAGTACGGTAGTTCCAAATATCTAGGCCTGCTCGTAGAGGATTCGAGAGAAAATGCTGCTGTCTGATAATCGCTGAAATGCGTGAAGTTGCAGTTGCGCAGCTTTCGCCTCTGTTGCGTGTGGACATCGTTTTCCAGTATGCCGCTTCTGAAAATTATAAGATTTTTTGAAAATTTTGTTTGATTTCTCCTTCGAGGCTTACTTTGGTGGATAGCTTTGCACAGCCCAAACCTTAGGCAGACGACCAAATCTGTCACTTTCCATTTGAGCTAAACAGAGTCATTAACTCTGTTACTCCCTTTCCCCCGCCCCACCCCACCTCGTATCTTGGCCACCTGGAAGCCACACAGAATGTACAGCAACTTTCCAACACAAGACTGGTGTCAACTATCAACTGATGATCAATTGTATCTTGTTCTGCTATCTGGGTAAGCCGCAAGTCCGCCCACATGACACGCACACTGTTCTCGTTCTGCTCTCCTTGTTGTGCAGCACGGGTAAAAAGATACCACGGTTCACTGATGTTGCTGGCCATTCCAATCATTGCTTAGCTCTGTCCGGTAGGTCCATTTCTTTTGCGGCATTGACGGCATTGGTAGTCATTGCATCAACAGAATTAGCGACAGGCTGTTCTGCTGCAACAGCGTAGACGGTACTGGTGGTCATTGCATCCGCAGAATTAGCGATGGGCTGTTCCGCTGAGACAACGTTTCCGTAGACTGTGGCACTAGTTCAACAACATACAATGCAGTGACTTAGATTAAATAAAGTTTCAGATTGGCCATAGTTTTAGCGTTTGGTGCAGAGACGTGGATGTGTAAGGTCCTGTAGACCTGCAAGGGCTAATTAAGGGAGGGGAAAATTTATAAATGGGCTGTGTGTTTTGTCGTATTTCTCATCCCCAGATCATGGCGAAGTGTACACAATTGGCAACCAGAAATCGGTAAAGAGAACATGCTGTAAACACGATGGTGTATGCATATCACGCTACACACCGGCCCCATTTCACATTCCGGGTTGCAATTTCTGGCACCAGAATACAGTTGGCAAGACACAGGACCAGCGCCTGCTTGCTGCACGCCATGTGCATCATGTGATGTACACAAGTACTGTTCGCACTTTGCGGTGAATTTGAGGTCTTGCCATGACTTAAGTCATTGCTATTTGGACGTACAGCAGGCATGTTTGGCTGTTCAACCTGTAATATGTACGTGTTGTGTCCTGTAAAACTGAGTTGGCTGAAAACCCAGTCTAAGTAAAAAGTTTGAACTCGGATGTTGAGCCAAGTAATCATAGATAAAAAGAAAGGACAAAATGTTACGAGTAACTTGTCAATGTGTGCCTTTTTTGTCGTACTCGCCGACTGTATATGATCTGGTTACGTTGGTGGTTAGTTGGTCAAAACAATTACAACATTTTTTCCTTTATTTTCATCCACTACTAAAAAGTCTCCACAACGTGATTCTTGGGTGTGTGTGTGTGTGTGTGCGTGTGTGTGTGTGTGTCCTGTAATGTGTTGGCAGGGTGGGCTTGGACGCGGCTTGTTTGGTGACAAACTGGAGAGTAAGCTGAGCGTTATACCCATGACGGCCTTCTGCAACGAGCCAGTCGTATCCATAGGCTGTGGCCAGTACTTCAGTGCTGCCGTTACAGGTAAGAACTGACCCTGAATTCATAGATGTCAAACATTCTTTTTTTTCTTTTTCTTTTTACCAGGCGTGGGCCATCCCCTGAATTCATAGGTGCCAAACATTTTACGTTTTTCATTGACTATCATGCATTTTGTCTATGAAAAAAAAGAAAAAAAAGAACTAGCACAATGACTAGTGAGAACCCACATCAGCAGCATGTACAGGGGCGTCGGAACTGGTGCCACGGGTGCGGGGATTTTAGATTTTATTCTCCAGGCTTGCTTGCTTCTTGTTTCCTCCCTCATGCAGAAACAAGAAGAGTTCAGACAGAATTTTTGGATTTTCTTCTCCATGCTTGTTTCAACTCCCTCATGAACATTTGATTTTTTGATTTTTTTGATGCAATGAAAACTGGGCTATTTGGACCCAGTTTTCCAAGAAAATCCCTGGTGACAGCTCCCGAGCCAATGGCCCCACCAATTTTAGAATACCTCCCGACGCCCCTGGCATATATGTAGAAGAATTTCGTTTGTTTCGTCCGTTAGAGCCTACTGTCATGACTGGCATTTTTGTCTGGATCGGAAATTTGGCATGTCAGATCTGCAAATACGTGGGAGACATATTAAGGGCGCGTTCGAATTGTCACTCTTTGACTTTTCGAGGAGTTTCGTTTTTCTGAAGACGCGGCCTAATTGGTCTCCTCAGAAAAAACGAAGCTCCTCGAACTCCTCGAAACTCCACAACCTCATCCGACGGGAGCGGTGGATTAGTTCCGAAGAGTTTAGAATAGCTACGTCACGGAGTACGTAGACATGGTCGATCTGATCGGACGTCATCATCGCCATGACAATTCCACTGGAAAACTCTAAAAATGATAGAAACCGTTCTAATGGAACACTTCACCAAATTTGTTCGAACAGTTGATGAAGACAATTCGAACGCCCCCTATTTGTGTTATCGTGGGGAGCTAGGGCAGGGCTGGATATCAACTAGCATGTTGCATTCTGCAGTAGCTGTGTATAAGTTATTGTGACATTGGCAGGATTTTAGATTTTGTAGGAGGAGAGACCAGTGGCAGTAAGCAAGGAAGAGAGGAGATGTTTGCATTGGTGCAGACCGCGCAATAGGGAAGCGGAGAGAGTTTCTGGTGCGCAGGTCTTGAGATTGAAAAACCCAGCTTTGGCAGGAGAGAGCACGGTATGTGGCCGCAGTTGCCAGCTGTGGCCACTGCTCAAACTCGATGCAAGGAAGAGTATCTCGCAGTTTGTGGCGACCCCAAGTTACCTTTTCCGGCGCAATCTCTCGCGTCTGTGGCGCTTCTTTCTCGTGCTCTTGATGGTTTGCTGCTGAACGTTAACGTCCAAGGCGGCAAGGCGGGCCCCAGCCAGCTCCCCTTCTTCTTCGTCACTATTAATGTTTGGTCTGGCTGATGAGAGCTGTCTCGAGAACGTGATTGACTCAAAATAGAATAACATTAATTTTTTCTAAGACTCGTCCGAAATTAGATGCTCAACACTCTTTGTAGGATAGTGTTGCTTTGAGAGCTCAAGTAGTCGCAAGTAAGCAACTCAGTCAAGAAATTTACGATCACTTTAACAAGGATAGTCTATGGGTGTTATCCAGCCAAGAACGTCGGTATGGTGACGGGGAATCCCCACAGCATTTCCTTATGAATAAACAGCAGGCGGCTGTTTGAAGTTGACAGTGTAAAGGGGAGAAGACGCTTGATCTCGCCTCATCGTGATCGTCTGCATCAGTAAAGAGAAGGGTTGTTCCTATAGTAACCATTAAAGGATGGCAGATGACGGCTACCCCGGGAACGTGATTGGCTTCTTGTCATAGCTGTTCAAAGCATCGAAAAGACTCTTGATCTTGGACAGATCATCTCCTCCAAGAGACACTTGGTTGAGAAGGGTCCGCGTAATTTCATCCTTCTTTTCCGACACTGGATTCCATGTTCGGTCAACTGCCGATCTCGTAATTCTTTGAAAACGCAATCACTCGTGCACATGCACAAATGCCCACGAACACCCACATACGGACAAGCAAGTATGTCGGAAAACAGTCATGCAGGCATGCAGGTACATATGGGGGATTTGTGGATTGCCAACTTCATGATCGTCATTGTCGCCGTCTTTGCTGCTGCTGCTGCGGCTCTACTTCATCATCATTAACAAATTTGGCACCAGCACTGATGGTGTACGGTGGGAGGACGCCCGCTCTGATCTTGCCCTAACCTCGTCATGATCATCAGTATCAATATCTCTGCTGATACCATAGTGTGGGATGACACACTGATCCCATGATCATATCCAGATTTAAAGAAAACATCCATTTTCTAAATCAACCTTGCTGTAGACGGTTTCGTCCTTAAGAATTCACCCTCGATATAGCCACGAGCTTGCCAGCCATGATGCAAACGTGGAACATCATTCCGTGATCATATCCAGATTAAAAAAACATCCATTTTCTAAATCAACCTGGCTGTAGACGGTTTCGTCCTTAAGAATTCACCCTCGACATAGCCACGAGCTTGCCAGCCATGATGCAAATGTGGAACATCATTCCGTGATCATATCCAGATTAAAAAAACATCCATTTTCTAAATCAACCTGGCTGTAGACGGTTTCGTCCTTAAGAATTCACCCTCGACATAGCCACGAGCTTGCCAGCCATGATGCAAACGTGGAACATCATGGTCCTGATAGTCATCAGTGTCTCTGTTGATACTGTATTGGGAGTTTCGGCCACATACACCTTTCCACCTTCGACTTCTTTTCTCTTACAATGCGTACGTGTAGGTCTTCGCGTATTATCACGTCGTCCGTAAGGCCTCGTCAGTCGGTACAGCTACGGGCTTTCAGCAAGCCGAGTTGCCAGCCATGCTGCAAATGCAGCACATCGTGATCATGCTGATCGTAGTGGAGAAGAAGGAAGACGTCTTTTACGGGCAAACAGAATACAATTCACGGTGGCATGGCGAATGATTAGAACACAACACCAAAAAATGAAAACAAGTGTATGTGTAAACGGTACCATTTGGTAGGGGAAAGAGCCAAGAGTCCCTAATCCCCTTTTAACATTAAAATCAATGAAAAAACGGAAAAACGAGAAAAAATCATGCTGGTCATCAGTAATTCTGAGAGTATGGTAGGCTGACAGCTGACACTCCGGAACGTTTACGGCTACAGCGATGGTGATACTCTATGATCACGCTCACCTTGGCGTGCAGAGAGCATGCTCGATCCAGAGATAAGTGTACCACAAGTGCAATTTTGTGATGTCCTTCATCATCTCTTTAAGACCGTGGTGACCGTGTGGAGTATGTACACCTTCCAGTGTGGGCCTCATCCGTGCTGATAGTGCCTGTTGCCCTGAGCAGATCTCATCCGTGCTGATAGTGCCTGTTGCCCTCAGCAGATCATAACAGGTGCAGTGCAACGTTGACGGCGGGCAGCAGCAGATCTGACTGATGACCGGTGGAAAGCTTCGCTTGAGCCTAACCAAGACGGATGTGAGCAAGTTAGATTTTGCACACACATCTAACGATGCCTTTATGCCGGTGTATACCTGCCGCCGCACTGCTTCAGAATCGGGGAATGCTTCGGATTTACGTGCCCTGGTGCCGAATGTTCCCATTGGCCTGGCGTTTGCTAGCCTCGCCTGTCCTCTAACGCAAACTTCAGCGGGATTGTAAGTTGTCGGACAAACAGCTATGCTGCTTGTTGATGACGGCAACAGTGTGTTTGGAAAACGGGACTCGCATGACCCATTTTTTCAGAAATTGAAAAAGGCTCGGATGGAGAGCCAAGGATTAAGGAAAGGACCGAAATGTTACGTGGCCACCAGATCGTTGAATGTCAGTGACGTCCGTCAGTATTGTGCTAGTTGTTGTACCTTCTGACTACACAACATCTTTCTTATAACTGCCGTTAGTGTTAGACACAAACTACGGATAACATGTCACATTTTGGTCCTTTCTTTTAAATCAAAAGGCTTTTACTATTTTTGTAGCTTTGACTACATCTGCTGCACTGGTACAGACGCCCTTGCATCAAGGAATAGTTCATTGACATAGGTGGTCTGATCAAAGCCTGACCACCACCACTTGTTTGCTAGCTTGCAGGTGACGACTGATGTGCGTGTGTGTACGTGTGTGTGTACGTGTGTGTACGTGTGTGTGTGTGTACATGGTGTGTGTGTGTGTGTGTGTACATGGTGTGTGTGTGTGTACATGTGTGTGTACGTGTGTGTGTGTACATGTGTGTGTGTGCGTGTGGATGTGCGTGTGTCTTTGTTTGCACTATGTGCTGTGCTGCACTATGTGCAGAGGAAAGCAACTTGTATCTCTGGGGCACCAACTCCAGCCATGTAATCAGCAACAAACTGGCGGACGGACTCATTGTTGCGCGGCCTGTTCATCGTCATACACAACTGGAGTCGATCTCCACGGTAAGCGCCGTGATCTTATCGCACATACGTTTTTTTTCTTTTGTGTGTGTCTTGTATCTGTAATTGCGTACGTACGTGTGCTCTTTATCCTCAATGGTGTTGCTTCTTTTACGGTCAACTCTGTGTATAATAATGTATGTACGTTTGTGTGCGTGTGTGGTGTTGGATTTAGGTATCGTGCGGTGCGAATCACATTGCTGTTCTCTCACGATGCTGCGACCTTGGTAAGCAGGCCGATAGCCTGATTGAGTTCATAGCAGGGTGTAGGTGTACGTGAAGGCCGAGGGGGTGCAGGCTGTACATGATTGTAACTGATAATCATCTCTTGTCTTGTTCATCTGACTAGACTTGTATAAAGTGTTCAGGGCGTGGGTTCAGTTGAACTAACATGGCCAGTCGCATGGGACCCATTGATGAACGGATCCACAGGTTGTGGGACCAAGTTGGTAGTCCTGTATCGTAGGGATTTGATTAAGTTCTATGTCCTGAAGACTACATCACCGCTAGTATCCTAGGGAGCATGGTGTGTAGCAGATTTGCAAGCCATTCAGGGTAGAGGCACTAGAAGTACTTTCATGCTGCAAAGGTTTTCCACAAAACATTATTGCCAACATACATTCAAATTCTCAAGTAATCTCAAGGATGAAAAAAGATTGAGCAATTTCATGTCCGTATAACAGAGTGTACTTCCCTGTTCCTGTCTCTCTATTGCCTTTCCTAGATGGCCAAGCAGCGGAACCAGCCCTGCTGGAAGCAGAGGATTACGTGGACGAGCGACAGCTGCTCCCATGGCAGACTGTCTGTCATACGGCGGACATGCCCCACCTCAGTGTTCTTGCCGTGGAGAACGAGCTACTCTCAAGCACTCCGGCGTTTCCAGCGTGGCGGGAGATGGTGTTTGTTCCGCCTCCAGCGCCGGCAATTGAACTCGTACTACCCACTGCGCCAGTCACCCCATGGGAGGCTGCCGCCAGGAATAATTCCTACCCGGCCGCTCACAGCGGTGATAGCACGGCCGACTGCATTGCAACGGCAGCTTCAACGCCATCAGCAACTGCACCAGGTACCGCGCTGTCAACAACAGCAGCATTATCAACCACTACAGCCGCAGCAGCTGCAGGCCCACAGTCCGTGGGAGGATTTGTCGAAACTGATGAATGCGACTCTTGGCAAAGCACATTGCTGAGCAGCGCTTTCAAATTACCCCCTGCTAAGGCTGAAACTCTGGAAGAAAGACGTGCTCGCGTTCTGAGCCAATTCATACCTGGTTACTCTCCTCCCACGCGTAAGGTTTGCAAGTCTCCTCCGCCGCCCATCCTGGAGATCGCTAAGCCCAGGCCTCTCAACGATCCACTGAGCTCTGCTTCGTGTGTCTCCATGTTCGGTGTGACGAGTCATCCCTTCTTCGACCGCCCTCCTCCACAACGTCGTAGGTCGTACAGTCCACCCAGTTACAACAGCAGTTACTATGGCAACACCACCAGCAGCAGCCGTGTACGGACCTTCTCTAGACCTGTCTACACTTCAAAGAGCTCCTCGCTCAGTGGAGCCAGTTCGTCCCTTACTTCAAAGAGCTCCTCGCTCGGTGAAGCTAGTTCGTTCCTTCCATCTTTAAGCACAGATGCGGATGTGACAAATACTTCTACACATGCGGGTGTGACGAAGGCTTCTACGCATGCGGGCGTGACGAAGACTTCCAGCTCGGCTAAGGCACAAACTGCGAGGCCGAAGACGTCCTATCTAGCCAGACGTCGCCGACCCGAACTCCACCTGAAGCAGACAACGGAGCCGGAACCGGTGCCGCCCCGTCCCAACCCTCCATGCACTAGCGTGCCATCCTGGCTTCACCATCCTTATCTGTTCCTGACGAAGAAACCCGAGCAGAACCAGGTGCCAGCGCCCCCCGCCGGCTGTCAACCCACTGCCTCGTCATCTTGTCCTAACCTTCCTAAGCCTCATCTGAACGAGTGCTATGAGCAGAATCTATTGGTGTACACCAGCCTCCAGGCAACATCACTTTCGCACGTTCCTGGCCTAGAACTAAATCAAACTGCTGAGCTGGGCCCACCATACCAGACACATCCATCACAGCCTCCCGACCCTTTGCTGAAGCCGACATCGGACACGGACCTGCAGCACTCCGGCCACCAGTCGACTACGTTCTCCTCAGGGACAGGCAGCAATGACGACCTGTCATCCATCCCCAGCCAGCAACCGACTACCACAACACCGCCTGCCCGCGCTTCTTGCCTGAAGCAGAGATCAGACACGGATCTATTGCATCGCTCCAGCCACCAGTCTACTGCGTTTCCCTTTCCGACTCGCAGCAATGAAGACTTGTCCTCAATGTCCAGCCAGCATAAAAATACCTCATCTCCCAAGCCTCTCCGTTCTTGCCTTAAGCAACGATCTGACACGGATCTATTGCATCGCTCCAGCCACCAGTCAGCTTCAAATCTCTCACTGACTCATAGCAGTGAAGACCTGTCATCCCTCCACAGCCAGCAACCAACCACCGCATTAACACAGCCCCGCGCTTCTTGCCTGAAGCAGAGATCTGACACGGATCTGTTGCGGGAACCCAGCCAACATCCAGCGCTGCAAAAAGCCGCCAGTGATCCTGTGAGGCGCAGGGTTCGATTCCGCTCTCCATCACCGGACGACCAGCACAGTAACATGTTTGGTCAGGACACACAGTCATTGCAGGAGAAGATCGAGCTGTACATGAACAAGAACAGAAAACTATACGGTTCCCAACCGTCTCGGCCGAGTATGAGGCGGAAGCGGTCAACGACATCCACTCGTACGTCGGCTGACGAAATGACAAGCTCAAATAGTCATCCGTCTGCACATGATGTCCGACGACATCGGTCAAAAGCAGCATCCAATAAAATGCCGGGTGCTGAAGTGAATAGCATGAATATTGGTCCGTCTGCGCATGATGTCCGACGACATCGGTCAAAGGCAGCCTCCAATCATACGTCCGCTCCTAAAGTGAATAGCGTGATTATTGAGCCATGTCGGCAAGATGTCCGACAACATCGGTCAAAAGCAGCATCCAAGCAAATGCCGGGTGCTGAAGTGAACAGCGTGAACATTGATTCGTCTCCGCAAGATGTCCGACGACATCGGTCAAAAGCAGCGTCCAATCATGCGTCCGGTGCTGAAGTGAACAGCGTGAAAACTGAACTGTCTCCGCAGGGTGTGCATCGTCAGCGGTCTAAGACGGAATCACGTCGTATGTCTGCGACTGCTGATCCTGCTAACACCCACAACCGTCCGTCTTCGCCTGGTGTACGGCGTCAGCGGTCCAAGTCCTTGTGTATTAATGTCCTAGGAGAGGATATACTCGTGGAGGATATCTTGATGACTTTACCAGGTTGGAGACAGCGGCTAAACGGAGATCCTAACAATGAGTTTCCAGAAGAAGGTGCTGAACTGACCATCGCGGACGTTCGCCGCATTTTGTTCCCTTACCACGATTTTGACACGGATGTATCGGAGCTCGCTAGCCGTGAAGTGAGTGAACGTGCTCGCTCCAGGGAAGAGGAAAAGCGTCGTAAGCGTCGAGACCGCGCTCCATCTCCAGATGAGGAATCTTGGAACAAGCCAGAAGAAGACGTGTCCAAATTGCCGCCGAGGATCCGGATGTTAGTCGAGGCACGAAGATCAATGCTCAAGTCGCATCCGCTTGTGTTACATCCTGCTGACAAGGGCAGTTATCGGTATATGGTGATTCCGGATAAATCGACAGCGGCAGCACCTCTGCCACTGACGACACCACATCACCAGTCTTTGGCAACAGCAGATAGATCAAAGTCGACAGCAGCAGCACCTCCACCACTGACGACACCACAACACCAGCAGCCCACGGCACCAACAGATGGATTGACGTCGACAACAGAAGCACCTCAACCACTGACGACACCACACCATCAGCCCACGGCAACAGCAGACGGGTTAAAGTCGACCACAGCAGCACCTGCATCGGTGATGCCACCACACCACCAGCCCACGGCAACAACAGATACACCGATATCATCACCAGCAGCAGTAGCACCACCAGCACAGCCACAGGTTGCTGCTTCATGCCACAAGTCCTCGGTTACCTTGGAAACAACAGATAAATTGAAGTCGACGACAGCAGCACCTCCTCCTATGGCGGCATCAGACCAACCAATGACCACACCGGATTCCATTATGGCAATATCCACACCGGCGATGACGGTACAAGATTCCCATGTGGCGTCACTGGCTCCAAGGTGTGATTGCCACATCGAGCCACCAGTTCCACCAATGGCATCATCGGCTCCAAATTTGGTGCCACCCAATCCACTAGTGGCATCATCGGCTCCGAACTTGGGACCACCAAATCCATTAATTGCATCAGCGAATGCCATGACATCGTACAACACATTAGTGTCGTCATCAGGGCAGTCCCCGCCTCCTCCAGAGCCATCGAGGAGAAGAATGAAGCCGGGGGTAATCATCTCGTCGCATCTGACTGCATCGGAAATAGAAAACTTGCCCTTATCGGACGCGTCGTCGGAAATGCCGGAAATACCACTGGGCGCGTTATCCGACTCATCATCCATGACGTCAGCTGAGCTATCTCCGTCAGTGGTGGCCCTCAAGGCCCGACTGGCGCGCCTGAAACCTCTAATGGACTCTGTAGTGAAGTCTCCCAGTACCTCTTCAAACCTGCCAGCGGCAATACCCACAGCAGCACCACGAGAGCGGCTGAAGGCGTCGTCAAATCCACCTACGGCATCACTGGCACCGGCAACAGCACCTCGAAGACAGCGACTAAGTGCAACGACATCCTCAACACCACCGTCACAGCCGTCGTTGCCACAACGAGAACAACGTACAGCATCACCCGAATCAATGATGCTGTTGCCGGAATCGATGATGGTATCATCGCAAGCAACACCTGGTTCAATAGAGCCACCATTAATGGCCTGGCACAACTCGCCATTGGAATCGCGAAAGCTGCCTATTGCACCACAGGAACCAGGGATTTCACTACCAGCACCTCCCACCGAATCCCTTCCGCTATCAATGACATCAATTAAAACGTCTATGACATCATCAGGCTTTACAAAGCCATCTCCGGGATCACCGATGGCGGCGCAAGAGCTGTCAAAGACAACACGAGAGCCATCATCGTACGCACGCCCAAGTGGAATGCTAGAGCAGCCAGTAACAGCATCACAAGGGTCGCAATCACCTTGCGTCGAACTCTCAACGGCTGGAAATGATGTGCTGGAGGTTGTTCGACCTCAACCAGGTCGACAATCAGCTGCATCAAGCCAGACATTGGTGCCGAGGTCTCGTTCTCGTTCATCCGCAAACTTCCAGCCGCATGACAAGTCGCCATCTCCGCTGCCAGAGGCTAACAGGTGGAGCCCGGTAGATCTCTGGGAAAACACCGGCGTGTATGCTCTCGACCGAATCGAATACCCAGGTGGCGGTGGTGGCACATTCCGCTCTGTTACCACACTACCACCGTCGACCTATGACAGGCTACCGGGTGCTCCGAACCAGATCAACGCACGCGGCAAGCGCCCTGCCCCCAGGGTTGCAAGCAGAGCAGGAACGCCGACAGCAGCACGGGTGGTCACAGGGTATGATGATGATGATGATGATGATGATGATGCTGATGATGATGATGCTGATGATAGTGCTGGCGTTGACCATAAGTACTACAAGAGGCCAGCTAGGCCGGCCAAATCTGCCTACTCACAGATATCGGAAATCTTTCCGGACTCGCAAACAACAGAGGTCAGTTGCATGCTTCTTGTATTGCCACTTTGCATGCACAGGAACTCTGTCCATAACAACATCTTGAGGGAAGTGCCAAATGCTTTTTGAAATTAGTTATTATTCTCCTGCTTGGAAAGTTTGGAAGTGGAAGCCATCCTGTCCACTTTTTGTCTAAATATTTTCTTCCATTATTCGCTTTGAAAACTGTTGTCTTGCTCCAGACTGGCCCGAGAGTGAAGAGTGCGTCTGTGCCTGGGCTAAGAAAAGCATTTCATGACTTCAACCTCGAGTCGATTGAGGATGACGAGGAAGACATCGGACCAGCGAGCACGGTGAGCAATGTATTCATGCTACCGTGTTTTGTTTGTTTCAATTTTACTTCACCAGATACACGGGCCTTTCTGCCTTGTCGTTTAACCATGGTCTTATATGCGAGAGACAAACATCGCATAGACATGAAGAGGTACAAGTACGCATATTATTGGCGAATGCCAATACAATGGAACCATGATGAACCCCGTTGGGTTTTGTGATTTTTGTTCACTTAAAAGTGCATGTTCTTATAAGGGAGTGTTATATTTGAAAATAAGAACATGTCCCGGGAAGTGCGAGATACGGTACATAACGGTAGCGTTAGTTTATCGGTAGTGCGAATGTTTGTCACGGTTTGTCGCCATTCACGGTTTGACAGGGTTCTAGGTAGTCTGAACGCGCCCTAACCTTCACTGCCATTCCAGGCCTACATCTTTCATGCATGTGTATAGAAGCGCGGAGGGACGTAAATGCATGTCAAATCGTGCGTGGTAAGCAAATAAGTCCGCGCAGAAATGGATCAGCACAACCACCTATGCTGAATCACTGGGGATCAAAATTAAAATGCAGTACTTGTGGTATCACTGATGTGCATGCATTACCGTGCCTTCTGTCCCGGCAGCCGGAGCCTGAAAGATCGGACTCGGGCAAGAGAAGAAGTAAGGGTCTGCGCCAGTCCCGATCACTAACCAAGCTTGGGAAACATTTACTGAGTCGCTCGTCGTCAAGACGGACTACAGCTACACATGAGGTACACTAACCCTGCTTTCATAGTGTTGTGGACATTAATTTTTTTTTGTGGACATTGAAATCCAATGGGGATGACCGGGGCTGACACACGCACTGCTCTTAGTGCGTATATGCACTGTACTTGCACACTGTAACAATAGACCAGCAGTGCTCGCGGCTGCAAGGCCAGCGCCCAGTGGCTGTTTGACTTCTCAACGGATTTCAATGTCCACAACTGTTGAAAGGTTTTGCTTACTACTTCCTCCGTTAACTAAACCTCGTGATGGATTTTGATGTATATCAAAACGCTTAGAATAGGTCAAGACAGTTAGTATCGACTGTAAATCGCTGGACGAAGGTAGTTCAGCCTATATACAGCGTCTTTACAAGAAAACTGTTGGTGGGGTGAGCAGAGAGTTCAGTTTTCGTCGCTTTCGCCGGACTCTTTTTTTGACCATGCGTCGCTGTCGTCATCTGCTGCGCACGAGTCATCGTCTCTCTCGAGTCGTTGTTCAGCTCTTTCCAGCCTTGCCTCGGCTTCTTTGATCACACTCCCCTGAACTTTGGTGATGCCGCTGTCGTTCAAGTTTGCTTTCAAGCAGTGCGATTCGCCACGGCGGCATTACTCGTTTCCACCAGGGAGTCATAAAAATAGTTTATGACTCGCTAGATTTACCTCCACTCGCCAGAACACAGCGAAAACGAGGACAGCCAAACTGATTTCATTTCTCTGATGGATGCTCCTGCTAGCACTGAACGGCAGCGGCTAGCAAGTCCCGTACTTTCCTTAGCCACGGGACTTGTGTCGGACTGCAGACTCTAAAGAATGCATTGTCATCAGCATTCCAATCCGGGCCTTCTGAAGGTTGAACATTCAGAATAATTTTCATTGCGTTGTGAGGTCAGAGCACCTGCTTGTTCGCCCGATCATTAGGGAGGTTTCGCTCTACGTAATTACGTATGAAAATCCGTATGTCGTACGCGCCGGGGAGCGAGGGAAACTTTCATACGTAAATCTCTCTACCGATTTCCGTAGGAAAGCTCTTTCCTACGTTGGTTCCTCCGTCGGACTTTTTGAAATATTTTTTTCGCATTTTCCGCATTTATCCATGGCAACGTTTAAGCCACGCGAAACACAAGGTACACATACCGTACACCAGGTGAAAAATAAGATGGAAACACGGTTTCGGTTCATGGTGCATACGGTGGGCGCATGCAGCCAACGCGTCTCCAAAGCAACAACGCATGTTTAGCAGTCGTGGAGAAATCACGCAGAGCGAAACCCAACAGCTCTGATATGTACGTATGAAAATTCCGTGCAGTTCATACGTTATTTTCATACGTAATTCCGTAGAGCGAAACCTCCCTATGTGTGGGCTCGCTGCTCTGTTCTATCCCTCTCTATCACTCTCAAATTCAGTGCTAGAGAGGCCAAGCAGCGCATTTCAGTTTCGCTTGCTGTGGCTGTCACCTATGGTGCCACAGCGCAACCATTGATTCCGCTCTGTTGCGGAAGGTCGCCTTCCTTGCATGGTATCTCTGCCATGGCATGCCAGGGAAGGTCAAGAAAGGGATCGACTCACAGTTTGCGCGCAAACCAATCTCTCAAAAAATCCATCACGAATTTTTTTGTTCACGAAGGAAGTAATTGTGATTGAATGGATTCAAAAAGTTGCATTGCGCATGCAGCACATCTTGTATGTGAATACGGGCCAAGCTTCTGCTTTATGACTTCAGACTGCACTCACAACTCGCACATGAATTACTCCTCTGTCCACGTAATGCTCAATGCTGCAAGGGGCAGAGCTTTCCGTTTGCAGGTGATGTTAGATTTCTGGTGCCTGGGGATCACAATAGCGTGAAACTGGGGTGCATGTGTGGGTGCATGTGTGTACAATGGTCTGCATGTGTGTTTGTACAGTGTGTTTGTGCATGTGTGTTTGTGCATGTGTGTTTGTACAAAAGAGAAAGACCAAGGAACTACAAGTTACGCTATACTGTCCACTAACACCACCATTTACTAAACAATCCGCTCATGCGATAACATTGCACGACACTGACCGACGGTACTGACGTTCTACAACTAACTGGATAACACTTCTAGCACATCTAGTTCCTTGGTCTCTCTCTTTTGCATAAATTTAACCTTGGCTCTCCATCCGAGTCCATGTGTGTGTGTGCATGTGTGTGTATGCATGGCTCGTGATCCCGCTGAGGTTGGAGGGATTGCCCTTCTTTTTGCACTTCTTGCGTGCTTGTGTGTGCTTGAAATACGGATGTACATCTGTGTACTTAGATCAACGAGTTGACCGAGGGCACGGCAAGGAAAGACCCCAACCGTCCCAAACGCAGTCGAAGACACCCAGCACCGCTTGAACTACCTGACTCTGGCTGCTCCAGTGATGAGCCAAGAAAGACAAAGCTTCAGGTACGGACAATACTAATTTTACAGATAATTATACCGTCAACCTTGCTGGTGCGGTGTTACACACTTTGGCATGGGATTGACTCACCTGTACTTGTACTTACAGAACAGAACAACAAGGACAATCAAGGCTTGTTTGCTGCAAACAAGCCTTGATTGTCCTTGTTGTTCTGTTCTGTATTACGCTCTGCCTCCGCCATGGTGTTGAGCACTGTCAGCACACTGGCTACATCCTCCGGTGTACGTGTACTTATCTAAGTTTCGGTCATGGTAGATGACTGTACAGCCTCTACGGCCTCCGTACCCGTCTCCGGTCCAGGGGAGTGGGACGAATTGCCTTAACGATATCAAGCTGAATTGTCGTGATCGCACCAAAAGCTTAGCCAAACGCTCAGCATGAAGAGTGAAGTCGAACGTAAGAAGAGCACAGTGTGCTGGCATGACGCCAGGAGTGGCAGGGATCGTGCTCTTAAGCTAGGGATGTGTAGGTGGGCGGGTGCGGCGGTACAACAGTGTAATATGCAGGTACAACCAGTCTGATACTAGTGCTTCGGGAGTAGGGATACACATGTGTGTGGTTGTGTGATTGTTTGTGTGCGTGTGTATATGTATATGTGTGTGTTGTGTGCTTGTGTGCGTGCGTGGACCCGTTTTTACGTGCGCTTGTGTGTTCGTCCACGTTTTTCCTGCCGGTATTTAGATGAAGGAGCTCGCAACTGGTCAGCCCAAATCACAAATTCGTCAACATGTTCGTCTACAGCAGGCACTGGCAGAGCTGGACATACCAGGTGGAAAACACCCAACTGATGCTAAGGGCAAGTCTCATCAGGTATGGTATTTTTAAGTTGTTGAAAGGGGGTTGCTACAAGACAAGGAGCGCGGGTGTGTAGGTGTTTATGTGTGTGTGTGTGTGTGTGTGTGTATGTGTGCATGGTGTATGCATGGTGTATGCATGCATGCACATGCGCAAATGTGTTTGTGTGTGCACGCACATCCCGCGTGCATGTAGTTGAGGGAGCTCACGACTGATGCTCCAAAAAGACAAGCACCTGGATATGTCCAGCAACAGCAAGCACTGACGGAACTAGACGTAACGGACGGAAAACACACTACTGATGATAGGGGAGGATTGTCGCCGGTAAAAACAATTATTTTTTGGAGAATGGAGTGGGTGGCTGATGTTCTGGAAGAAAAGGGTGGGTGTGTGTGTGGGTGGGTGAGTTTGCTATTGCGTGGCAAGTTATGGTGTGTGTGTGTGTGTGTGCGTGCGTGTGCGTGCGTGTGTGTGCGTGTGTGTGTGTGCGTGCTTGTGTGCTTGTGTGTATGTGTGTGTGTGTGTGTGTGTGTGTGTGTGTGTGTGTGTGTGTGTGTGTGTGTGTGTGTGTGTGTGTGTGTGTGTGTGTGTGTGCGCGCATGTGTGTGTGTGTGTGTGCGCATGTGTGCCGTCTGTGTGTGTATCTCTGTCTGTATGTGTGTGCCTGTGTGTCATGCTTGGTGCATGTGTCTATACATGTCCAGTTGGATGAGCTCTCCCTTCGCACATCGCAGAATGCAGAAAAGCTTTCCTTCTCTACGCAAAAGCCATCACGATCACTTGACCTGATCATGTCCTCTCCATCTCTAGAAGCTACTGCCGGCAGACATGAGGTAACTCTACTGTATAAGGTGAAATTTAATCGCTGGTGATATTAAAGGGGAAGTTAAAGCAACATACCTTTGCACACATTTATAAGAAGGAACTCGGATGTCGAGCCAGTAATAAATGTAGAAAGGAGAAGGACATATGGAAACGAGTTAAGAGTAACTCTCCACAACTGTAACTAGATACTATATACAGTCAGAAAGTGCAACAAAGTGGTAGAGAGTTACTCATAACTCGTATCCATCCCTAGTACTGTTTAATGGGGGAGGGGCTGTGCTACAGTAGACTCATACGCCCAAGAACATCCAGACTGGAAATCTAAGAACGCCTCAACCTGGATTTAAGACCGAAATCCAAGATTTTTAAGAACGCGACATTGCACCTCCGTGATCTTGTCCGAGTACACGAAAAACAAGTCCGCAACCACAAACTCTTGTCGGGTCCTCGCGAAAACATCACCCAGTCCAGCGTTACATACTACACGTGCATGTAAAGTGTACAACCGGTACATGTAGCGCAAAGTGCTTTGTACATGAGCGTCACGGGTCATGTTGGACGCGTAAGAACGCGAAATAAGAACGTAGCCTGGGGCGCTGAAAAATAAGAACTTTGCTAGGCTGGTCCTCTGAAACCGCGTTCTTGGGCGTACGCGTCTACTGTATGTGCTGCAAAAAAAGCCATGAGGAGAAGGGAGCGAAAACGTTTCGTTCAGAAAATGTTCAATGCACTCTTCTAGACTGGTGTGGACGACGTATATATGCATGTACTACTTGGCAGACTCAGCGGAGGATGTTCAGGTTGGTTGTCACTCTGAGTTTCATGACGCTAGGCAATCATCAGACAACTGATACTCGGATCTACCCAGCAGTATGCTTATAAACACATAGGGCCACCAGCGTAAACATATTTTGCGCTAAGTCTGGTGGCATAAGGTATGGGGAGAAAGCTGGTGCGGGCCAAGGCGCTAGGAGAGGCAACAGGCGAGTGGAAGTGCCAGAAGGGTGACGGGCAAGAGGCAGGTGTGAGCATGAAAGCGCGGACAGAGGCGATGGGGATACTGCTTGAACACTTCCAATTTGTTCTAGAAGAATTAGCAATGAATAGAATTAATTGTGCACTTCCCGTTGGTTATTTCACTATCGTGTGGTGATTGCAGATATCTGAGTTAAGCCTTGCTGATCGGCGCAAGGCAGTTCGCCAGCATCGCAAGAGGAAGAGCACTCTTGCTGCGCTCAATGTACCGGCCGCCGCTAGCTCTGCGGACTATGCTGATGTGGGACAGCAGAGCGAGGTACGCTGTTCCGACTTTCTTGCTTGCTTGCTTGCTGCTGTTACTAGTGTCTGGCAGTGCTGCACGAGTGGGTGTTGGTTGCTTGCTTCTCTGGCAGACGTTCACTGAACAGCAGACCGAAGGGCAGTGGGGGGGGGGGGGGGGGGGTGATGTGCAGGCCCGATGGCGGGCTCTGCTGGGTCCCTACCCTGTCATTGCCTTTGAAGATGCGTGGATTCGGGTCTGGACACAAAATGGCATGGCTAATGGCATTGTGACCATCGACACCACCCTCTCCCCCCCCCCCCCCCCCACACACACACACATTCATGTGTAAGACCTCGCCTATATGTAAGACTTGCAGCGTGGAATGATTCGAATACATTCCCCATATCTTAAATGGTGAAATGATTGAAATCGACGCATTGCATCTTTAGATTGGCGGTGTGGATACTGCAGGTTTCTGTGTGATAAAGAGCTCCGTGAAGTTTGAGCTTTATCAAGAGCCTTCGGTTCTCATCTTGTTTATCGGAATGGTAACAGATGTTTTTGGGATCCATTGATGATGATGCTCAAACACGGCTAACTTATCTGTTTTCATTCCTGCATTGTGCATAACATCTAGCTGCAAGAATTGAACATCAAAGCTCGGCACAGAGAGCGCAGACGCATGTCACCAAGAAGTAGCAGCTTGAGCGACTTGGCTGCAGGTGGCGGGGCCTTGACGGGGAAAAATGCAGAGGTAATGTCTCTCTTTCTTTAGGGTTGACAACAATCTCTCTGTCTCTGCACACTTGTATGCAACCAAACTGGGGGGGGGGGGGGGGTTGTAATTACAGGGTACCTGGGGCAAAATGATGTGTACTCAATGCCATTGTGCTCGCATCATGTCTGACGTCCCTGCTCTTTTTTCCCCCGTCTTCCCTCCAGAGCCGGCTGTCTGAAGCCATGCCTCATCCGGGAAGCGACAGGTTGGCGAAACCAAGCAAACGTCGTGGCCATGGCGACGACACTCCAGCAGCAAGCAAGAATGGGTCTGTCCTGGTGTGGGATGTGAAGCAACAGAGACCTCGTCTTTTCGTGAACGAAGTGGAACAAGCTGTCGGGAGTGAGCGCCTTCAAAGCTTTCTGTTCCAAGGCTCGGTTCCCCTTCGCATCCTGGATCGCCACGGTAACCTTCGAGAGGGTGACATGGATCAGATAGTTCAGTTCATAATGAGCTGGCTGGCCGCGGAGAAGGCTGCGGTCTGCGGGCGCAAGATCAAGCAAGTCCACCTCAGCATCCCGGAGAAAGAGCCCTGGTCGAAAATCGCCGAGAGGCTGTTTGAAAGTAAAGAGTGAAGCCATTGAGGCCACCATGGCACTGTTGGCTGTGCGTGGAAGGTGTTGTGGCTAGCACTACTTACTGTCTGTGTGGAAGATGTGTAGGCACTGATGGCGTGACGCAGCTAGCTGTGCGCGGGAAGTGTTGTGGCTACCACTACTCACTGTCTGCGTGGAAGATGTGTAGGAGTGGCTCATTGAACCAGTGCAAGCGCACGTCTTCATAGCGATGCTCGCACCCGTAACGGCCGTGTAACCATTACGACAGCAATGGATGATCGATTTGTCAGCTCGACAATATTGCCAGGTTGAAACTCCAGCACGATCAGATCGAAGCGTCGGTGAATTCACACTGTCCTGTTTGAGTCGCTGTGCCGTGTGCCTATGGCAATTATCAACTAATGAACATCACGGAAATCCAGTGAGACGGAGCGCGAAGCTCTACTTCGCGTATTGACATGCATGCCACAGCTATGCGCTGTATTTGTATTTGAGACTTGAGACGCGTGCGCGTGTACTTGATGTGTTGAGCCACACGGTGTTTTCCACCGTGGCTCGCGGCCTATGTCCTTGAGTGACAATGCTCTTTGAGTTGTTGATGGTGAGGCTGAGCGAGCATAGATTGATGTTTCATACTTGATGTCCAGAACCTTGTCAGTATTGCCCTGAAAGCTCCAGCCGTATGCGAGCTGTGGATTGATAACTCCGGTCGTATACCACCATTGCCTTGATAATTCCAGTTGTATGCTCGCAGTTGTAACTCCAGCCGTACGCATGCAGTGGTAACTCCAGCCGTATGTTCTCAGTGGTAACTCCAGCCGTATGCCCACAGTGGTAGCTCCAGCCGTATGCACACAGTGGTAACTCCAGCCGTATGCGTGCAGTGGTATGCTTGCATTGGTCACTCGAACCCTATGCTGCTGCTGCCGTATGCTCGTGGTGGTCACTCCAGCCGTATGCACGCAATGGTAACTCCAGCCGTATGCTGGCAGTGATAACTCCAGCCGTATGCACGCAGTGGTACCTCCAGTCGTATGCACGCAGTGGTATGCTCGCATTGGTCACTCGAGCCCTATGCAGCTGCTGCCGTACGCAAGCAGTGGTCACTCCAGCCATATGCTCGGGGTGGTCACTCCACCCGTATGCAAGCAGTGGTCCCAGCCGTATGCTCGGGGTGGTCACTCCAGCCGTATGCAAGCAGTGGTCACTCCAGCCGTATGCTCGGGGTGGTCACTCCAGCCGTACGCTCGGGGTGGTCATTCCAGCCGTATGCTCGGGGTGGTCACTCCAGCCGTATGCAAGCAGTGGTCACTCCAGCCGTATGCTCTCAGTGGTCACTCCAGCCGTATACAAGCAGTGGTCCCAGCCGTATGCTCGGGGTGGTCACTCCAGCCGTATGCAAGCAGTGGTAACTTCAGCCGTATGCTCGCAATGGTAACTCCTGCCGTATGCGAGCAGTGGATTGATAACTATTGCCATATGCGGACAGTGGATTGACAACTATTGCCAAATGCGGGCAGTGGATTGATTAGTCTAGCTGTATTCGAACAGCACATTGATAACTCCAGCCGTATGCAGGCAGTGAAGTGATAACTCCAGGCGTATGCGGGCAGGGAAGTGATAACTCCAGGCGTATGCGAGCCATGCCTAGTAACTACAGCCGCATGCAGAAAGTGCGTCTAAAACTAGAGCCATATACATGCCAGTCATTGAGAACTACAGGCATATTCAAGCAGTGCATTCGTGTTTCCGTGCATTTAATGCTTAGTGTATATACTACTTACAAACATAATAATTATTATGATGATTTTAGCCGTTTATCTGATACATTGATGATTAGCAAACCAGCCGTATGCAGACATTTAAAAACACGAAAGCTATCCATCTGCAAGCAATGCTGTCAGCTACGTTCGCATTGAGTATACGACTGACTACGTCGGTGTTATCACTGTGTGTCAGCACACAAGACCCAAAGAACTCTTCGTGCTACCGTGACCCGTAAGGTGATCAACCGGATCTGGTCGTTCACAATGCGCTGTAGGTGCTCAAGATCACAATATTTAGGAATACCCCTTACAAAACAAGATGGTGCTGGACAGTTTGAGCACAGTAGTACACCATAGCTGTGCTGGTGCGCCCCAGGCAGTGTAGTCTTGACATACTTGCTCCTCTAAAAGCAGCCGGTCCGGCTGGTTCGGTTTTGGCCCGACCACTTTTTTTTAAACACAATGCCAAAAAGTGCCCAGAATGCAAGATTGCACCCTAATCTCCAAAAATTCCCGGTGGACAACCCCTGGAACCCCTGTCTTGCCGGACCACCTCCAACAGTGGTGCAGGTGCTATGCGCCTGTTCAGTATTATGCAGAGGGCGCTGCACAATCATGATCATTACATTTTTATGCTTTCCATATCAGATTTATTTTCTCCGTCTTCTAACTGTCCTATGTGCTATGCACTTGCACCACGGTGTGTGTGTGTGTGTGTGTGTGTGTGTGTGTGTGTGTGTGTGTGTGTGTGTGTGTGTGTGTGTGTGTGTGTGTGTGTGTGTGTGTGTGTGTGTGTGTGGAGGGGAAGGTACAAGTGTGAGTCGATTCACAAGCTCCACTCGGGTAGTCGTGGACCACAAGACGGTACGTATCTTGTACGTAAGGAAACAAAGCCGCTTGACCAAGCTTATTTCCTTGGCAGGATTTAGTGGCAACAACGCGTAGAGGGATGTTACTACTGAACTGTCAGCACAACTTCTGTACGCTACACAGCACATACCTCCGCCCATCACACACACACACACACACACACACACACACACACACACACACACACACACACACACACACACACACACACACACACACACACACACACACACACACACACACACACACACACACACACACACACACACACACACACACACACACATTCATACCCCCTCCCATTCAGGAAATTAATAACTTCTGTTTTCTTTCCTTTCATTTCATCTTCTTTTCCGTTCCTTCATACACATTAATTTTTTATACATTTTCATCATATTGTGAGAGCCGTGGGCCAATAGCCCCGGTGAGAAGGCAGTCTTTCCTGTTCATATGGTGAAGTAAAATAAAGAAACAACAACAACACACACACACACACACACACACACACACACACACACACACACACACACACACACACACCAAGGCCGGAGGCCGCTTCCGCGGAGCGGCCAAAGGGCCATCTTTAAGGGGAGGGGGGGTCTGGGGGTCCTCCCCCATAATGTTTTTTGCAATTTACACGACAAATCCTGTACTCTGGGCGACTCCCTGTACAAAATCATACATCGAATCTTTTTCTCCCCGGTTTTGGACGTCCCACGTGGACCGACTTTTTGGGAAGTTGCTACGGCCATGGCCGGACCGGCCGGACCAGTGGCGCCGGCCCTGCACACACAGACACACACGCACACACACCATTAGTTTTATTGTCGCGGACAGTGAAATCCGCTGAGAAGTCAAGCGGCCACGCGGTGCTGGCCTTGCAGCCACAATTGTGAATGTAAAAAAGAAGCAGTAAAGTTCACATTTTCGCGTTACCACCGGCTATTGAAGAACACAACCAGCTTAGCTTAGGAAGTTTGGCTTGTGTCAGGCCACCACCATGCCTAGTATACCAAGGTGGCAGATGCAGCAGCACCTTGCGGCGAGGGTGAGGTGGTAAGTCTCACAACCTCGCAGTCACTGAGTGCATGTACGCGCTGTAAAGCGGTAAGGGCTCCGGCCCCCGGTCATCCCATCGCAATTCAATGTCATGCCATGTACAACTCGTATACGCCCGTTGCAAGAGGAGCAAGCAAATCTGAAAATGCCATGGACACACCCACCCACTGCAGATTTTCTCTTATAGCAACGGCAGCGGACAAGGTGTGAATGGAACAGATGAAGACTAGCGCCAGACAACTGCCTACATAGAGCTGGTGAAGATAATGCGAATCGACACTCGCCCACCACACACACACACACACACACACACACACACGCTTGTACTTATTGCTCACTGCCAAAACTGGCCACGCGGGTCTCCCCGGGAGAGGGGAGAGAGAGTCTGAGACTCATACACACACACACCCACCACACACACCCAACAGACACATGGCTAGGCCAGAGCAAGTACATGACTACTAGTCGCAAGCCAATGACATCATTCTATTGATTAGGAGAGCAATAGGGAACTTGAGTTGCTAGCACTCGCATTACCACATTGACAAGAGCCAAGCTGCTGCCATGTACGAAGTAACGGACAGCAACATCGCACACCAACACATTCATGTAGTCATGTACCACGCACAGCCGTCGCAAGAGAAACGCCAGAATCTGCAAAGTGCACCGGGTGCAAAGCAACTGATTTTCTTTTAGAGCAACGCCAGCGAACACATCCACAGGCACGCACAGACACGGACGGCGGTGGGCTGACAAGGCGGAAATAGAGAATTTTGTCACGAATAAAGAGTTTCATATGGGGAAATAAAATATTCACAAAAATCCAGAAAATTCCAAAAAAAGCTGCTGCACCGCAAAGCCGAGATAAGAAAAAAAAGATTACCTTTCCGGACAAGTAAATAAAGAAATTCCTGTAATCTTGTGGGAAAGAGCATCCAGCCTTATACACAAGATGTCATGCTCGGCCGCAGAAAGCGAGCATTCTGATTTTTAAAAGGGAAAATATAGTGCTCATAGCGGTTATCAAATATTGGAATAATCATGTTGGATAGTGGGGCAAGAGTACTGTACTTGCACTAGTGAGTACGACACTGTACGCACATTCTTAGGCAGATATCGCTAGTGATACACAACAAGGATAGGGTGAAAAGTTCATTCTTAGCAAAGATTCGAAGCATTGTTCTCTGAAAGCACGAGTGACAACAGCGAATGACGCAAGACGGGAAAACTGGCCCGACGTACAAGTAATCATGAACACACGCACACACACACACACACATGCAGACATACGTGCACACACACGCACACACACACACACATACACACACATCTACGCAGAGTCCAGCTGAGGGCGAACTCACAGCTAGACCGATAGAGTGAGCGCTCACACACACGCACGCACGCACACACACACATGAACGCAAACGCACAGAACAATCCAAAGCGGAGAGCACTGATTCACAGCTGACCTTTATAGTTAGGTCTCGGCCAAGTCATCTTGCACGCCGGCGTCTACAGTGGAATCATCCATGGGCTCCTCCTCGACATTCTCTTTCGTTTCTTCTGCCTGTGGTTCTTCCGCATCTTCCTGGTGGGTGTCGTTGTCCGCTGCGGCACTTGCTTCGTCAGTGTCTTCTTTTTCTGCTGCAGATGTAGCCTCGGGACCATCGATAGAGTCAACTAGACCGGGAGCGTCGACTTTGGTCTCCGCGGCTGGCTGTGGCTTGCTCTTGCGCCCCCAGCCGCTGAAGAACGAGGTGAGCTTCGACGTTGCTGTCGTCGACTCACCCTCGCTCGTTGCCGCCTCGGGCTTCGACTCCGATTTCGCCTCGTTGGCCGTGTCTTCAGCGGCCTCAGCGCTGGCGGGTTCCTTCGCGGCGTCGCCTCCGGCAACTGTACGCTTACTGGATAGCCAGCCGGACATGGCGGTCAACAGACTGGCCGACTGAGCCTCGCCCTGCTCTTGCTTGATGCTGTCCTCAGTGGCAGCCTCGACCTCCGGTTTCGTCGGTACCGGACTCATCATGACGAGCTGCGTCACAGCGGGGTCTTTGGTCGTGGCCTCCAGGGCCGCGGCGGTCGCGTCAAACGTGAGCGCGTTCTTGAGGGCGGCGGCCGACTGTATGTACTGGTTCATGCACGAGCACAGCATCTGCGCCCGGTCCTGCTCGATCAGGTTGATGTCGCGCAGTACGCCGGGCAGTCCCACCATGAAGATTTCGTCGTGCTTCTCAGCCAGGTCCTTGACGGCGCCCTCGTACGCTTGCTTCGACGGCGGCTCGCTGTCCGCATCGCCTTCAGAGTCGCCTGCGCCCGCGGTGGTGGCCTTGCCCGCTGCTGCCGACACATCACTGTAGTATTTGCGCTTGGTGGCCGTGACGCGCTGATAGCCGGTGCGCGCCTCGGTCAGCAGGCGCTTCCCGGTGGCCGCGCGCTGCACCTCGTCCTTCAGTTTGTCGCGCACGAACTTCGTAATGGTTGGTGTCACCTTGGTCGTTACATGGCTAGCTAGGGTTTCGTGCTCGGCCGCCAGACGCTGTACCTCGTCCACCACTTTCACCCAGCAGTCCTGCAGGGAACCAATGTGTTCCAGCGAGGCCGGCTGTGACGGTTTCTCCGCGCCGCCGGCGAACATCAGTTTCGTTTGTCCCAGCAGGGTCTCCAGCCTGGCGTAACGTCCCTTGCATAGCTCCACCAGCTGCTTGGAATACGCCTGCTCGATTTTGGCTAGCTTTTCCCAGAAACCGGTCATCAAATCGCAAACGTCTCGGCCGTTCTCCAATTTCTCGGTTATGCCATTGAACTCAGCGGCATAGTTCTCAATGTCCGTGTTCGCGGAAGACATGCTTACAGTTATCAAAGTAACTACTTTTCCTACACCACAAAGGACTGAGGACAAAACTTGCCGGCTACAAACTGTACACAGCCAAAGGCAAAGGACAGACCTACTACTTTACTTACATGAAATAGTCCTTCGAAAAATCACATTGAGAGACGATTACTAATCTTGTCTTTCTCAGCTCGTTTCAGCGCTTTGATTTCATGACATCCGCAATAAAAAATATTTTATTTTTTCATTCATGAAAGGATCATGTGATGTCAGCATGGCAAGCTGTCTGGATCTGTCGACGGCGCTTCGGTGTCACGACATGTCACAGCAAGACTAGCACATGATTGAGACAGTTCACCGACGACGCTTCGGTGTCGCGACGTGTCACAGCTACAATGTAGTTTAACCTTGGTAAACCGGCCTCTTGTACGGGCAGAATTAAGTAACACAATGATACAATAAAAACAAGTACCAGTAGTTACATACATGGACCATACGAGAAAAAGCAATGATGACGAGGCATAAACAAGTGTCTAGTGCTGTATGGCAGCTTCCGAGACAGCGAGTCGAGCGGATGACTCAGCCACCTCCGGGTGCGAATTCAGCCGTCGTGCACCACGCAGGCAAGCCACGCCGCGGCACGGAGAAGGGCAAAGCTGAACCTGCAGCAGATCCATGCCATCACTGCAGAGTATGGCTCACCAGATTTGTCGGAGACCATTGCAGCTATTCTCTTGAGGAGAGCGGCAGCAGCTCGACCAGTACCACCAGTTGCAGCGAAAACCACAGCTACAATGTAGTCATTTTTTTTTACTATTGAACACTCACTGCATGATGAACTAAAATGAGGGGGAGAACTCGACACAATGGTACATATCCAGCAGGACGGAGTGGGTGGGACCTGTGAAGCTCAGCCGACCAAGGGTCTCGGCATCACAGCTGCACATCAGTGTCTGCTCCAGCGCCGGGTGAGCCGGGTAATCCACCCGGTTGGGCGGCGCTTGGACCTGGTTGAAAATATAGTACCCGGTTGGTACTTTACACTTTCGAACTTACTTTGAAATGACTGACTACATGGCTTGTACATGTATGTGTCACATACTTCTTCTTCTTCTTTCGTAATTTTCTAATTCCTGTCCTCTCTTTTCTAAATGCGGCTTATCCATTAGCCTTTATATCATTGTGCATACATGTGTACCCGGCTCCGACCCGGTTGAAATGATTGCGCCAGGTACACGTGTACCCGGCTCCGACCCGGTTGAAATGATTGCGCCAGGTACACGTGTACCCGGCTCCGACCCGGTTGAAATGATTGCGCCAGGTACACGTGTACCCGGCTCCGACCCGGTTGAAATGATTGCGCCAGGTACACGTGTACCCGGCTGTCCTACAATCCTGGAGCAGACACTGCACATGTGCACCAAAGGAAACAAAACGGGGAGTGGAAGGGCGGGGAGCAGGAGAGCAAGAACTCTGAGGGTAGGAAAGAGAGGAGGGAGGGGAGGAAAACAGGAAACTTGTTAGTTTGCGAGTGATTCCAAGATATGAGTGCAAACAAGTACGCAAACAAGTACAAAAATAGCAGTATCAAGATCATGATGCTGAGGCGAAAGTAGAGGCTGATTGTCGTGCAGTTTTGACGAAAGATTAGAGTGAGAATGGTGGAGAGTTAGAGAGAGATAAGGACATAGAATATTATGGATTGGGAGTTTGATGAGAGGGAGTGCTCCGAGAACAGGAACAGGGTCGTAATGGCAGTAGCCTAGGGGGCGATATCCGTGGCCAATGACCACCCAGACCGTTTCAGGTAGCGGTAGGTCAGAACCTTGAACTGCTGCATCCCTTTGGCAGACGGTGCATCGCGGAGGAGAGTGGCTGGCAGTTCATTCCAGGCTTCGATGAGGCACTCCGGGAAAGAGCGCAGCGCAACATTGCACGATCTGGCAGGTAGGGCTGTCTGGAGTTGAAGCTCATGCGCAAGGTTGGCTGCCGAGCGGCGACGTGTGGCAGGCGCGATGGCGGGTGCGATGGCTCTGGCTGGGCGTGTCGCTGCAAGAGCTGATGGGCTTGTGATGTAATGGAGCTTGTACAGGGTTGTGAGGCCGGCCACACGGCGCCGCAGGGACAGAGTGTCCATTGCAGCCCCTGTCCCAATCAGGGTTAGGGCACGATGCTGGACTCATATGCCGCCGGGATTATTTTCTGCCGGTAAGTTTCATGCATGTTTGGTATGTGGATAAAGAAATGGACTGGCAGAATTCGAGGAATTGCCCGCCATAAGGTTTGTATGGTTCTGCCAATTTCACTGCTTTTCGAGCAGAATCTGCCATCTTTTCGAGCATTATCCGCCAATGCATTGTCACAGCGGGACACAACCATAGTCGTGTAAAGGTCACAGCTCTTCACTGAGGGGCATTCCACAGCGGCCCTGAGACGCTCAAAGTCGGCAGAAATCGGCGTAACCATCAGACAAAGCATGCCGCTGACTCATGACTGATGCCAGCGAATACATTATACTCCTCGTCTTCAAAGTTATCCATAAGTATACCAAGCACGCATGAAACATACCCGCGGCGGACTATGTAGCAAATTTTGCCGATTACTATCTGCCAAGGCCTACGAGTACTAGTAATGCTCGAGAAAGTGGTAGATTCTGCTCGAAAAGCAGTGAAATTGGCAGAAACATACAAACTTTGTGGCGTGCACTTCCTTGAAATCTGCTGCATTTCTTTATCCACATACCAAACATGATGATGCATGAAACGTACAAGGAAAATTACCAAAATTCTGCTAATTTTTCTGGCGGCATTATTCGCTAAGTACCGTCTAGTGGTGGACCTGGTGGCTGGTTCAAACACACGTAACACACTCGAAGTGTAGAAGTGAACTCCAAATCGTGGTCCTATTGATTGTCCCCACCGGACGGGACCCCCTCCCCCGCGCACCCCTCTTGTTCGCACCCGACTCGGGATCTTCTCGCTGGGAAAGTGCCATGAGTTACCAGCTGCATAGCTGTGAGAAACTGATCGAGGAAAAGCAGAAGGTGACAAGTGAGGCCTGAGGATGAGGGTATAACCGGAATCAACCATATGCGCAGGGAGTCTTCATTCCATGTGTGCTCCGCTAAATTGCCCATGGACGCTGGCCGTTCTTTGTGAACATGTGGGGAAAGGGTCGCGGTCCTCTGGACCTCTGCGTGTGTCTACATGGTGTGTGCGTGTATGTGTCTGTACATGCCTGTGCTCGTGTTTAGTTGTGGCCCGGATGTAGCCCAGATGGCCCCAGAACAAGCGTGCAGCAGTCAGGAAACGTTCCGTAGCACAACAGCCTGGTTCTACACTGTACATACATGTATTAGTGTCCAAGCTGCAGTAGGTGGGCGGCTCCTTAGAAAGGTATGGTTTGTGGCCCATAAATGTCAACATAGTTAAAATCATGATGGCCAACCATTTTACTGTTGCTCCTCCTGTCGCCACGAACTCGGCATACCGGTGCACAACCTGCCAGCGGCCCAGCGCTGATAATTATTGTTATTATGACACTAAAGGACATACATGTACACGCACATGTAGTTGTGGACTACGTCCTAAGCGGCCCAAGGTGACTGATTGCCAGAATTTTGAATATCACTGACAAGTCTGTACTCAACCACAATCTTGGAGGCGACAGAATATGAAGCGCAATTATTTGAAGCACTGCCTCCCTGGCCCCTCAGGCCATCTGACAGTGCATCCCTTTGAAGGGGGGGGGGGGGGGGAGGGGCGTTAGGCCTTGACGGATTATGCTAGCATAATTTTTCGCATAATTTCTACCAAAATCGAATAATCGCATAATTCGAGACAAAATTAATTGCATATGAATCGCATAAATTGGAATAATCCGCCTGTTCGCATCAAATTCCATACAGTTGTACATGTTCTACAAGTACAAGTAGATGCACCAGGAAGTCGTAGGTTTACGACTCCCTTGATAACAGTTACATGTCCAGTCCACTACAATCAGTGACGGTCGTAGCTAGGTCGGACGGTGCGGTGACCCCGTTAAACTTTTGCTACTACAGTACAACGCCCTCTACAAAACAATTCCCCTGGTATTTTGCACAGAACCATCATAATTATGTATATTATACATGTACATGTACATCAGCAGCATATGTGAGCTTAATGTGGCATAATATGATAACTTTTAGCATAAAAATAGCATAATTCTGCAATTTTCCCAGCAATGCGAAAAGCATAATTTCACGAAAATATTAGCATAATCCGTCAAGGCCTAGGGGGCGCCCCGGGCGTAGCTGTGTTCCAGCAGCTGTCGATAAGTGTGGTTTTACCAAATTTAGTAGTGGTGTGAATTTAATAGGGTGTTTGTGTTTGAAAACAATAAAATATTATACTACAAAAAGTAGGATCTTGTGTCGCAATATCCTCCTAGGCAGCCACGACCTTGTGCGTCTCCTTATTTCTCTATTGTCTTGAGCCTGCTCAGCACAGACGGATGCAGTTGCCTGCGAATCTGGTGTCCAGGCGAGAGATCTACTAGACTACTACTACGAATGAGAGAGGTCTATTTTCGCAATGGACATGTATTCCAGGGCATTGGGGAGTCCAGCAAGGGCTAGCTCACTTCGTCAGCGCGTATGGAATGCTAGTGAAATGATTGCATCGCGCGCGTTCGACACCTGCTGGTTGAGCGGTGACTTTTTCGGACACCAGGACAAGCCTTCGTCGTCGCCTCATAACACTCATTGGTCATGAGGGACAGTAGCATTTGCTTGAGACGAAGGAAAAGAATCTTCTGAAGTCTTCTCCGTTCTGCCAGGTGAACTAACGTGTGACTTCAGGCATATCGTATCATGTTTTTCACGCACCTGTTGCCTTGCTTGTGGCCCGTCTAATCCTTCGTGTCGCATCTTTTTTATCGAAGTAGACGCTACCTGCTGAAATGAGTATTGTTATTCCGTCTCAGTATCTGCTAAGCGGTGTGCAGCAAAGCTGTCGACAGCCATCCGCTCGCTCGTCTGCTGGTTGCAAGCTAAGCGAAGGATCATGGCATGGCACCCGGGTATCAATAGCCACGTTTCACGCGGGAGAGAAACGGGACACCGACGCGATGATTCGCAAGTTCTTGAACGAGTATTGGCGAATCAAGGAGCTCACTCACCCGAACATAATACACACATTCGGTATTCTGCAGTGCTCCTCACAGCCAGACACCCTGAGCTTGGTGATGGAGTCCACGTTTTCCACGCTGAAAATGCGCTACGCCCGCGAGCCGATGCTCCGGCCCATAGAACAGGCCAGAATCGGTCTTGGCATCGCGTCGGCGATCGAGTACCTGCACGATCGATGTCTGATGTGCTGCGGCCTAGCCACCGGCAGCGTGTTCGTCACAGGGTCGGGGCGAGATGTGTCAGCTAAGCTTAGCGCATGGTCAGAGTTCGGACTGTTCGACTGCGAACCGCCGCCACCTCTGGCCTATTCGCCGCCTGAGCACCGCGTAGACACTACTTCTGGCGGCAAAGGAAAGGCAAACAATGCAACCTCGCGTGATCCTGCATCGGACACTTTCGCACTGGGGGTGACCTTGCTGGCAATGTGCAGGCAGTGTGAACCGCTCGACCAGTCGGCCAGAAATCTTTGCCACGGGGATTTAGCCTTGCTCGGTAGCGACCACTCCCTGTTCAACACGATCAACAAGTGTCTCGTTGCTAATCCAGAACAGAGGCCGACGGCAGCAGCCCTGTGCCGGGAACTCGGAACCCTTCTCCAATCTCTCGTTACCCAGGACATACGCCGAAGAGCGACAACAAGAAAAGCGTTGAGCAACGGACGTGGCGAGTCACACGAAAGCAAGGCGGCCGCCACGGCCAGTGTGCTGCAAATTCGGCAAGGGCTGATCGAAGAACGGGATCGCCTCCTCGAGGAACTGACCGGCGTACAGACTCGCCTGGAGGAACTACCGCCACCAGCCTACGATCAGGTTGTCGAGGAACCGCAGAGTGAACCTGTGGATTCGACACTGGATGACTTTGCTGTCGTTATCGGCATCTCCGCCGAGGCAAATGCGTGGCATTTCGATGACGACGAAGTGAGTAAGGAGAACGGCGACTTAGCCTCCGCCGAAAGCGGCAATGGCGTGGACGAGACGAGCTGCGATTCCGACTCGCTCACCTACCAGAATATCTCCTCGCTTATCTTAGAACGCAGCGCAGTCCTGGAGGCTGCACTTGCGGCCGCAGTCGCGCCACCGACAAGTCGCCGAAGGCAGCGGCACCCACCGATTGATCCAGATCTGATTGCGCTCAGTCAGACGAACAGCGGTGAGGGTATGATTGCACGCTGCAATCGCGTCTTCAGGGAGAAACAATCTGAGCTGCCACAGGTAGGCTGAGTGCAGTCCACATCGCACAGTATGTTGTCGAATGCATATGCACTGCTAGTATTTCGGGTGTTATAACAACTGAATATCATTATTGTGGAACAGGTAATAGGCAAGACATCACACATGTAATTGAAACCTCAAGAATCACGTTCTAGTAGATCCAGTCAGACCCAGTTTTCGTATCCATAGGAACGATACCATCCTTGATGAATTAGAAGTAGAAGAAGAACAGAACTTCTCCTTGTTGCACCTAAAGTCAGATCAATGCTGACAGTAGGAGCAGGAGGAAATCGCAAGCCTGCGGGGAATTTGACAAATCTGAAAACCCTCAATGCAATGCAACAATGCACCAGACATTGCTCCATCTGACATTGCATCCATATTTGTATGTGCAGTCAACTTTGCGTATAACGACACTCGGCGGGGCACCAGAAAAGTGTCCTTATTCGCGAAGTATCCCCGAAGTCTCATTATATGTATTACAGTTAGATGGGACTTTGCTCTGGGCATGGAAACTCTGTCGTAATTCGCGAATTTTCGTGGTATCCGCAGTCGTTATTAGCGAAGTGGACTGTACATGTATAGCAGCAGTGCATTGGATGTGGGACCATTTGTTGTCTATGCACATTCAGTTATCTGTGACATGCACATATCCAACAGACTTTGGTAGTGACGGTGCTACATAACTGATCCACACTGGCACACTCTTCTCCTCTGTTTTTTTTTGTTTGCAGTGGGTCACGATAGCCACTTATCCAGAGGACGCTCTGAGTTGCTGCTCCATGCCATGCACTCATGACGGCTGTCTGTACGTGGCCTTTCTGATGGACACCGACGGGGCGCAGCTAGCCAGGGCCGAACTGCTACGTCTGAGTCTGCGTGCAGCAAGCACGGGCAGCGAGGATGTGGAGTGGACTGTCATCACACTGCCTGGCGACTGGCACTACCGTTGCTATCTCTTCACGGCCGTTCATGATAGCACGGAACGCCTGTACGTTGCCGTGATACGCCGCGATCTCACCGGCTTGTATTCCATCTTCAGCATGGCTGCGCCAGGCGAGTGGCGCTTCGTCAAGCAGCTCCCGGTTGAAGTGTTTGATTTCGGCCTGGTAGTCGTAGGCAGCTTGCTGTTGGTGATGGGCGGACGGCAGAAGCCTATCTGGACGAGTGCCGCATCGCAGGGCGTTTACATGACCGACCTTTCGCTGCCCAACTCACCCTGGCTGGTTCTCACGAGTTTGCCCTGTGCATGCCTGTCGCCTCGTGTTGTCGTCACTGGCCACTGGCTTCGCTGCCTGGGCTACAACAGTGAGGCGCAACATAACACGTGCCGAGTGCTGAGCCTAGACTTGAGCCAGGATCGGGCAGAGCAGCGGTGGTCCGTTGATATCGTCGCCGGCAGTCCGATGTCATTCAGTGCTGCGGTCGCGCTCAACGACCATCTCATTACGGTCGGCGGACGACGGGGACAAAAAGCCGATCAGAGCACTCTGGCGGATGCGTTTGTGTACCTGGAGGAGCTGAGGGAATGGCTGCCGTTCCCGCCCGTGCAGGAGGCTCGGCGTGGCTCGCACTGTCTCGCATGGGACAAACAGCTGATCTGCATCAGCGGAATGAGCGAGAGCAATGAAGGTTCCGCTACCGGACCAGTAAGAAGTATTGAGTGCTTGCGATACGGGGGAAGAAACGAGGAGCACAACTGATCTCATCGATATTTGGTTGCATGACCGCAACGGCGAGTAACTGAACACAACCACTTGCCACATTCTCTATTTTTTCTGTTGTCATTTGTTTGTATTATGACTGCAACGGCAAACAGTATACTTGACCACATCAACTTGCTACGCCCTGGCTTTACTGGACCATCACTGAATGTTGCTACTCCGTGCTGTAAGACATTACCTTATTTTCCTTTTTATCTCCTTATGATCGGTTTTTCGGGCCTCTTTGTAGTGGTTCATTGTACTGTTCAGCCACCGAAGTAAAATAAATTGAATACAATGCAATACAAAAATCACCTGTATCTTCACGTTGTCAACTCGGCTATTTTCAAGCAGGGTTGGCCCATGTTCACTGCTCATCACATTCTCCTTGCTGGTGTCAGGTACCGCTGACCGAGACCCTTGTCACAGAGGCTGGGGTGATGTTCACAAGTCCCAAGCCTCTATTCAACACAGCCTGTGTGCACTGCTGCATCCGCACATCCCGATTGTTATGTGTGGTAGAGCCTGTTTTTAACGACCACCCTACAATGTACACTATAATCAGGTCTTCCAAAAGATGGTCCTCTAACACAGGTTTAAAACATGTGCTGTTCTCACACTGTAATGACACAGCAAGGTCCTTCTTTGCCACTACTCAGAGTTCCGTGTTTAGAAAAACACACCCGCATTAAACACCTGCCAGATTTGGGAAAACCAATGCCTGGATACCGAAATGAGCAGTGTCATCCCCATGCTCTTCATAATGCTGTGTAAACGGGCTTCAGATGTTTTTAATTCACCAAGAACACTTACTTCAGCTACTGATGTGGTGCTCTTCACGGCCATCCACATTGAAGGTATAATGATTTTTCTTCATCTTTTCTGTTGTACGAGTCAGTAAAGATAGTATTTTTGTAATCTCGAACTGCAGCCACCTACAAAGTAAAAATAGTCGTCACTTAAAACGCAATTGCCCGTAATGTTAGTACGGTAATGTACAATAGTGCTTTGAGGGATTTGAAATGTACATGTGAATAAATTCAAACATAATGTACCCAGCCTTTAACCCAGCCTTTACGTTTTCTTTTTAAAAGTTGGAGAAATTGAGAGTTTTACATGTGTAAGTGTGAGCGTTCGAGTGCACGTAAGGGACGAAGATGGTTCCAAGATCATCAATGTGCCTGCAGCAATGATGCTGAAGAGTACTACACAGTACACGGTTACATGTGTGGAATGAACAAAATTACTAGTACATGTACGGTCGTGGCGAAGGTAGCGAAGATATCCCTCCAATCAGCTGTGCAGCATTGCCTGTATTTTACTTTGCCGACGTCGTCGTCTCACTACGCCATGGGCAGCTCTTGGTCATCCTCTTCCTCCTGGCTGTGGTACTCGATGTCCTCATTCAGGGCCTGGGACAGGTCGGACGGTACTCGTATTCGATACCAGTGCCTGCCATCCGCCCTCATGAACAGCGAGCTGGTGTCGCTACTGGTGACGTCCTGGGGCATCACATGATGAAGGACTTTCCTGCCATGATATTGAGCGGATAGGACTGGGAGAACATCCATGGTGAGAATGAAAAAGAGTGCGAGCAAGGTGACGTTGGCCTTCATGTCTAAGCTGCTCAAAAATGGCTTCATACAGCAGCAGATGTATACAGCTACCGCTCACCGTCAACTGCACCTTTCCGTGGAGCATAGGCAGTGTCTCGATCGCTGGGAGCTGACACCGGGCTGCGTTGAACAGTAGGCGGTTATGTCACTGACAGAAACTGAGCAAGACAAACGACCAAAACGTTTGCCCTGTAAGTCAATATTTGGAAAACGGCTGTGCATCCAAAAGGACTGCACGATCTGAACGCTTTAAAGGAAAAAAGTCAATTGAGTGGTGAACTCCCGAAGAGGACTGTATCATAAAGAATAATATTATACAGTTTGATACAACGCTACCAAGGTTCTACGGTGAGGAACTAACTCTTCCGATACTACCCTTCGTTTGAACCCCACTCGCTCCTCAAAAATCTTTTGTCGGTGTCTCAATCTTCTGCGCAATGACCACGATAAGCTACCTTTTGAAGGGTTTGCCGGATATTAACCAAAACATCACCATTGTAACAGCCATTCGAATGCACAAAGTGTTCAGGAGCCTCTCTCATCTTCACTCTAAATCCCGGGTCTGGCAGACGTCGGATATCAATACGTGGCAGGTATTACGTGGTCATATCGGTTCGTTTCCCCTAGATTACCCAAGCAGGTCGCACGCGTACATCGCAGTGCCACATCCTTTTCTATCGCTTCCTGAACTCGATCATGAGTCAGTTGATGAGCCTCTGAGGGAGAAAAGCACGCGTGGCACCCCGTGATCACATCCTTTATTGCTGAACCCACAAATAATAGTGATACAGATTGTAAACCATTCGAGGTAGAAGAGAAAGCCATTAAAAAGAAAAGAAAAAGAAAAAAAAGGTTATTGTACCATGCCAAACGGCAAACGGCACCACGTGATCATAAAGTGACGACAGTGTATGTCATGTAGATGTATCGTCAAGGGTGTGCGCTGAGCGCCTTTGTTCGTGACTGCTCCAAGATCATGTAGATTGAAGCAGGGGGTCGTATATACGACTCCCTGGATTGAAGCGATCTTTTTAGTTAGTAGCATTAAGGTAAAGTCTGTGTTTGCTGGACCCTGTACCAGGCGGAATCCTGTATTGACGGAACAAGTTTTAATGCACCAAAGTGCACTGGATCGAATGTGCACCGGACACCCCTGGATCAAGCGGAATCCCGTCATATCAGGACCGTTTTTGCATGAACGGCGTCCGGTCAGGGCAGGTTGAACTGTGCTTCGAAGTAGAAGCCCCCTCTCTATTCGGCATGCTCATCGCCTAGAAGACCTGACTAGCCTTCGCATACGCCGCAACCTTGTAACCGAACAAAGCTTTTTTTTTGTGCCTAATGTATTAAAATACAGTAGGCAGCATGTCCATCACAGCAAGCTCACACCAGCGCCATAATGTCTAGCCGGCTCGCCAAACCCTCAGCAGTAAGTGCGGCTGTCTGATGATAGCTCCTGCACGTATGCGTGACACACCAGCTTGTTTGGATAAATCTGAGGTACTGGCCTCCAACCATCCACTTTGGCTTGAAGCTTCGATTCTTGTTCGGCGGTCGATGTGTTATTACTGCTTTGGTCTAGATGCCCACGGTGGCACCAATAGTTGCTCCGAATCTTAGATCAACTCCGACACACCATAATCTATGATACCTATCTCACTGCCCAAAGAAGGTAATCTCAGGGACCGTCGGAAAACGGCTACATGTATGATGGCCGCCAGAAGCGGGACAAGAACGGCTGTAGGAACGCTGTGGAAGCTAGGCTATTACTGTCTTGTTGTTAAATCTGCTGGTTGCCGCGAGCACCATGGCCCTGTTGACCAAAAAGTAGGAACAATATTTGTTTGGCGTGCTAGAGCTGATAGGCAGTTAGTTGTAGAACGTCAATACCGTCGGTCAGTGTCGTGCAATGTTATCGCATGAGCTGATTGTTTAGTAACTGATGGTGGTGGTGGACATTATAGCGCAACTTGTAGTTCCTTGGTCCTGGTTTCTTCTTTTCTTTAATAAATACTTTTTGTTATACCCGTATGAGCAGCAAGATAAGGCACTAATGATTCAGTCTTTTGCGATTTGTTTCAAGGAGGAAAACTTCCTTGTGCCAGCGGAGAGGGCGTGTGAAGCACTATTGCACACAAAAGGTACAGCGGAGGCTTACAGATTTGTCGCAACTCAGAGTTTCTTGCGCAATGCAACCATCAGGTGACTTATGACATGTTCGGTGGGACCTGGCCAATATAAAGCATGGTTTGGTGATAGCGAGAGGGCTAGTTGTTATAGTCTCTCCGTGGCCAATGACGGAGTGTTGGTGTGTGACTTATTTTGCTGTGGAAAGGCTAAAGTTGTATTACGCTAGAAGATTAGGCAACAAATATCCAATTTGGCTCGTAGGAAGAACCTGAACGTTTCTGAAACTTCCATACATGTAACTATAAGAAGTGCCCTTTTATTTTATTTTTTTTTTGCAAAGACCACTTAAATGCTAAACATGAGATGAAGCTAGGGGAAGCACGCACAACCTGAATCGTGGCAGTGGTGGTGAGGTATAGAGAGCTCCGCCGACCTAGGATCTCGACTTCATGGCCACCTAGACGCACCAAGAGTGGGTGGGGGAGAGCGAGAGAGAGAGCGAGGCGACAGCGAGAGCGAGAGCGAGAGCGAGAGCGAGAGAGAGAGAGAGAGAGAGAGAGAGAGAGAGAGAGAGAGAGATGGAGAGAGAGAGAGAGAGAGAGAGAGAGAGAGAAGAGAGGGAGAGAGAGAGAGAGAGAGAGAGAGAGAGAGAGAGAGAGAGAGAGAGAGAGAGAGAGAGAGAGAGAGAGAGAGAGAGAGAGAGAGAGAGAGAGAGGAGAGAGAGAGAGAGGCAGGGAGAGAGAGAGAGGTTGCGAAATTGTTAAAGTAAAATAAAAGGAACATTGAAAACATTAGATGGTTGGTGAGGTGACTGCAGCCTCAGCTATTTGGCCAGCAAAGTCATAATTGTTACAGTAGGCCAGCTATTACATGAACAAGGGAGCTACTGTGCCGCAACATAGAGCGAGGGAGAGTATATAGCTAGCGAAAAAGACACGGTCTCGGATGCGGTGTGTGCACTACGGCTGAGGTGGGTGTGAGAGGTCTGCTAGAGGCTCTCAGTTGCCCAGCTCCAGTGGTGCAGCTGGAGGTGACGGTGGACACGACACTTAAAGTGGCAGACTACCCAAAAATTCGTTGAAAAATCGAATTTGGAAATTCATATCGAGGTTTACATCAGTTGAAAGAGCATGAACAGCTGCAAAATCTCTGAAAATCTTGTCTCGATCTGACCAGCCGTTCAAGAGCTATGGCCGAAAATGTGCCCTTGCAAGGAAAGAATTTTTTGTTGCACGCTGAATTTTGCTCCAAGTCCAAAAAAGTCCAAAAATCACGTTTTTTAGCAACGTATTGGGCCGGGATGCACGGCGGCGGGCTTCGCCCGCCGTGCACCAGGGCTTTTGCCAGCACCCTCGTGACGTTGCAGATATGTGGCTTGATTATCGTAGTTGACGTTGATTTAGTGACTGACAAGTTTGAGTCGTGTCAAGAAGTCACGTAGGATTCAGTACTAGGCAGTAGTGGAACGTGAGTGGTAGTCTTTGCCGGTTTTTGAGGGTATCCTGGATTTGGTGTGCAGCGCTGTGGAAATGGCTTGCTGTGGAGGTCCCAGCACTGGATGTTGTATCAAAGGTACGACCTCGTAGCACGTGCTAAACCTAAAAAAAGTTCAAAAATTGACTTGGGTCTGTGAGAGAACGCCCACTCGTTCCGTTGTGACAGATTCCAGGGCCACGTTGAGGGGCCCTACCCCACCACCCATGGCTGCTTCTGGACTTGTTTTAGGTTTGGATCCCGCGCACGGACAGAATGGGCACGAAAATGTGAAAAAAATTGTAAATGCATTTGTTTGGCTCCTGGGTGGCTCGCACACCGTGGCACTATGCCGGAATTTTGAGTTTTTCCGGCCTGGAAAGCCTGTCAGTGAGGCGCAAGAACTTGTAGATCATGTCCAGAGGGCCAGCATAGTGGCAAGAGTGTGTGGTCAAAATTTCACTCAAATCCATTGAGAACCACCAAAGTTAAGGTCAATTGAATGCCATATGAAATTTATGGGTAGGCTGCCCCCTAAAAGGCTTGCAGGCCGTCCAGGTTATGGGGGTCCCAGCAGCATGCTTTGGGGCAGAGCATTCCATGTCTGCACAGCGCTGGCAAGAAATGCGCGAAGACAGCTGTTTTGCGTGCGTGCTGGGAGGTTAATTGATAGCTGGTGTGGGCGCCTAGGCTGAGCAGACACGCGGGTGGGCTGTATGTCCTGAGGTCGACGTTGGGCACCAGGAGGGAGGATCTTGTTTAGGGGGCTGTCCGCATCCAGGCAAATAGCTTGTACAAGTATGCAAGCGAAGCCACTGTCCGCCGCAAAGATACACTAGGGAGCCAGGAGCCCCATCCGATGATGTGGATGGCTCGTCGCTGGATCTGGTCTAGCTTGGCCAAGTGTGAGGGTGGCGCACCAAGCCAGACCAGGGGACAGTACTCCAGCACAGGGCGGACAAACCCATTGTAGGCTCGGAGTCGCCCAGGGGGCTCTAGGATAGCAGAGGCATTCCGCAGGAAGCCTAGACGTTGCTGTGCTCTGGAGCGGATCGTGCGGATGTGCTGCGCATATGTCAGTTGGGAGTCAAAGGTGACCCTCAGGAGCTTCAGGTGGCCTGCTTCGCTGACTGGCGTAGCGTCGAAAGTGGTTCCCGGGAGCTGCCAAGGCTGGCGATGATGTGCGATTGTCATGGCTTGGGTCTTGGAGGGCTCAAACTTGGTTTTCCACTCCACGCCCCAGCGAGACAGTGCATCCACACCCTGTTGCATGATAGCAGAGCTGCCAGGTATGGACACTCTTGAGGTGATGAAGTTGAAGAGCGTAGTGTCGTCGGCATAATTATGCTGCGAGGTCCATGCCAGGAGGGAGATGGTCCTCGGCGTCATTTGTGTACAGGATGAACAGTGTCGGTCCCAGGATGCTGCCCTGGGGGGACGCCAGCTCTCACCGGGTAGGGCTGAGATAGATCCCCACCAACAGCTGTGATTAGGTTCCGGTTGCTTAGGTAGTCGCGGAGCCAGCCAAGCAGGTGACCAGCTACGCCATAGCACTCTGCCTTGTGGAGCACTCCGGTGTGCGAGACACGGTCAAACTCACCAGCCACATCCACTGCGATCACCCTTACTGCCCCACCGCTTGCGCCACCCTACCCCACTGCGAATTCAATAGGGTGAGGATATCCTGAGTGCTAAGTCTGCTGCGGAACCCATACTGGCTCTGGGAGAGGATATTGTTTGACTCAAGGAATTTCCTGAGGGCACGATTGACGATAGCCTCCATCACCTTGGACAAGATGGGGAGGAGTGAGATAGATCTGTAGTTGCTCACATCAGATTTCGATTTCTTCTTGTGGACGGGTACAACCATGGCAGTCTTCCATAGGGTAGGCTGGCGTCCTGCCCGAAAGGACTTGGCGAACAGTTTCGACACAGGGACTGAAGGTTCCTTGCTGCACTGCTGCAAAACTCGGCAAGGCAGGCCGTCTGGTCCTGTGGCTTTTGCAGGGGAGACCTTCCTGAGCTCGCGCTCGACCGCACAAGGTCGGAGGTGCACTGTGTGGAGCTGCGCATCTGAGCGGCTACGAACTGGTGGGAGCGCGTCTGCCTGCAAGTCATCCGTACCCAAACTGCACTTCGACGAGAAGAACTTTCCAAAAGCCTCAGCTTTCGCTGCGCTCTGCCTGACTTCGACACTGTTCGCCTGGGTCAAGGTTGGGATCTCCGAGGAACGGCTGCCATGGCCACCAGCACGTTTGATCGTACTCTCGGCTGGAGAGACCTCCAGCGCTGATCTTGCGCCTTACTGTCGCAATCATGGCCATCTTTACTCGATGCAGAGTGGCGACTGCGGCAGTTGCTGCCTCCTTGAAGGTTGAATGAAGTGCAGCATCATCTGGGGAGGCCCGATGGCGCCTCCACGCCTGTTGTTTTCTGTCAACACATGCTTGGCATTCAGGAGACCACCAGATTGGGTTGCTGGCTCGTTGCTTCAGTACTTTGGATGCCTGCTGCTGAGCTATCAACAAGAGCCCATGGCGCCAGGATCGAGGAGCATGCAGCTGCGCACAAGGGTTTGGCGAGCGTCGCGAACCCCACTTTGTAGCCACAACCTGGGGAATTAATTTGGGCTTTCGGTTATTGAATTGCTACGGTTTCCAGTTGGTATTTGGTATGGTATTGATTTATTTGAATTCGGTATCTCAACAGTACATTGTACAACTTGGGAAGATCCGAGAGAGTTACCCATAAAACCCCACTCCAACACTCTAACAACCTTTTTTACAGCAAAATAATTTCGCAAGTGCATACACTTTTTCCGTTTTAGTTTTTGTTTCAATCAATCAATACCATTAATATTTTATTGGAACAAAGAAAAATGGTGGCACCTACGTACAGGGGATGGCCCACGCCTGGTATAAAGTAAACGTACTAGAGAAACTCTAATAACCGTCTGGTCACTGTTATTAGAGTGTTGGAGTAAGGGCTTCATGAATGTGTAAGCGGCTGTGTTGGAGTTTGTGAACAGTGCAGAGAAAGAGGAGAAACGTTTCCAGTTGCCGTATGCGTGTCTCTGAGACTTCGGGTGTTTCTGTGCGTAATGCGTGGCTCACAACAAAGCGTGCGCGACCCCATAGGGCTGTGCACCCTTGCTTATGCCATTCATGGCGCTCGCTCACTGGGACTGATATGATGGATGGAATTGCTCAAATACATTAGGTCAATTCAACGTCACTCGAATTTGTCAGTGACGTAAACTGCCTGAAAAGTGAAGAAAATGCGAAACCCACCAGAAATCGAACCCAAGACCTTGCCTGTCATGCGCAATGCTCTAACCATCTGAGCTATGGGACCAAGCCGAACCTGGCAGGTACTAAGTTTTTCGCAACAACGAAGCTATCTCATGACAAGCAAGGACCTATGCTCGAATCATGGTGGGGTCAGCGTTTTCCTCTCTTTTCAGCCTTCAGGTAGTTCACTTCCCTGACAGCCTACAACAATATAACAATGTAATAGTCTGATTAGCAAAAGCAGAAGAGAACAGTGACAAACAGTTGGTTGTCTGCCTTTGTGACATTGCTCCATCCTTGCGGTGCTGAACACTGTAGCATTCTGGAATTTTCTCTATTGCAATAGTCCAATGATTAATAAGCTTTGCACAGTACCGGTGTACAACACACTCGATGGGATCATCAGCGAGTGTGCCCAGCCTCAATCACCGCACTGCCCATTGATGTGCTAGTCTTCATGTATACAGTCCAGTATATTATGACAATAGAGGAAGTGCATCTACTCAAGTACTGCGCCTCTTGCATGGGACAAAACAATTGTGCGTGTCATCAAGCAAGTTCGCGTAAGGACTGCTAAAGTGCTCCTACTTTCACTCCACAGGTCTACCTTGTCGGGTCCGGACTCCGCGATCCGGAGCAGAAATTACAGGCCAGTCATGCATAGGCCGCTATCCAAGGTCTCTCTCTTCCGATAACACAGCCAAAACAGAGACTACAAGACGGTCCTAGGACCATAGACTAGAGTCTTTAGTAGCAAGTGCTCGCACGAACAGGACCGAGTAAAGGCCACAGTTTACATTCAGCAGCTCGTTGTTTTCACCAATCACGGGAACATTTCTGTTTCTGGAATCTTCTGCCTTGGAGCAGCCGAGCGTCTTGAACTTTCCGAGTCAGGAATTTCTGCTCATTGTGTTTTCAAACACTGCTTGTGAGAGATTGGTAAGGAGATCGATCACCTGTGGAGTTCAAGATTAGAGTATCGCCACGACTCTAGGAAAACCTGTGTTAGTTTTGTATCACCTACGTCATTCTAAAGCCCGGCCGGGTAGATGTGAGTTACGCCTTTTTGCTGTTGATGTGGCTGCTGGTGTATTGTGTGTGCGTTCATGAAAGTTTGAGTTCCAACATCTTCCACTTGGATCCTCTCTCTTTCCATCACAATACAAAAATTAATGTCTTGCTTGACGGGCAGCGGTTTCTTGTGCCCCCTGGTTATATTATAAGCCATCGATACACGTGAATTGTAATAATTCCTATCCTTAGTGAGAATTCATGGGGCAGACGAATGTTTCCGTTGAACGCCCAAAAGGTCCACAATGCGTAGATTTTCAGAGATGATCAGAGAGAGAGGAAGATAGACAGATAGAGAGAAAGAGAGAGAGAGAAAGAGAGAGAGAGGAAAAGAGAGGGATAGAGAAAGAGGAAGAGAGAGTGAGTGAGAGAGATAGAGAAAGATGGAAGAGGGAGAGAGAGTGAGTGAGAGCGATACGACTAGAGAGAAAAAGGGAGAAAGATGTATAGAGGGAGAAAAGAGAAAAGAAAGAAAAATACACAGAGCAAAACAGAGAGATATTGATAGATAGTTACATAGATAGGGGGAAAGAGGGAGCGAAGAGAGAAAAGAAAGAAAGAAAGAAAGAGACAGAGACAAGAGACAAGAGAGAGAGAGAGATCAGGCAAAAAAGAGACGGGGGAGAAAAATGATAGAGCTACTGCTATCTTTAACGTAAGGAAATGATCTATTGCAAGGAAGAGGTTATCAGTTGGCTACAGTGCAGCCTCCCAAAATTGAAAATATAACCTTGACCTAGAACTTGAAGTAACATTTTTATAAGATTGAGAGGGTTGTGTGCCGGAGAAGTCGGAAGAGAAAATTTACTGTCACCACCAGGATTCGGACCAGGGACCCTCAAGCATGGCCAACGATGCTCTACCACTAAGGTGTTCTGTTTGCACAGGATACTACCAGCGACTTTTCAACTTGTTCCTCAGACGTCGAGTTTTCCTCTAGCTGTAATAAAAGCGTGACAGTTGACAAGATGAAACCAGCAGAAGTACAAAAAAGTATTTGTAAATATAATCAGTCTGCGGACAGCATGGTGGTGCAAATGGAATCATCTAGCTTGAAATGTTGGTACCTACAACATTTGAAAGGTAGAAGAGCCAAAACAGCATGAGGGTCAAATGCGTGACCCATACACGTAAAAGGTAATGAGGAAAGGGTGCAAGGGTGAGTAAACCCAAAAAGCTATCACCTCCCTGCTGTATGTAATCAATTGAACTACACCATTCTCTTTGATTTTCTCTTTGCTCACTTGCTATTGTCTTGTGTTTTCTTGCCATTATTCACTGAAGTGGGGATTTTAATAAATCATGGAGTATAGCAACCTCTAAAATACATTGATCTGGTGGAGACTTGAGGAAAAGAAGAAGGATATTCCTGATTTTTACAGGAAACGTGCAAGATGAGGAACGCATTGCACGGCAGCCATAGCATCAGGCAGCAAGGTCTGATGTGGAAAGCAGAGAGTATACGACGCGTACTACAGTAGTCGAGTTTAGCTGGGTGTAGTACAGGGTATCATATTATGGACTGTGAACAAGCGGTGGCAGCTCACTGAGACTTGTTGCGGGCTGCGGATACTGTACCAGTATTATTTTTTGTCCATCTCACTTTGTTAGGAATAAGTTGTTGATAGCAAAACGCGACAGTTGGGCAGAAACTCACCTTTATCTGTTTCCTCTACAGGTCGGGTCACCAAAGCCATGGGAAAACGGCGAATTCCAACCTGCCTGTATCTGGTCTTCCCTTCTCATCAGTCGCTGGCTTGTCAGACGTCCCAAGGCAACATGGCGGCAAGGATGCCAGATCTTTGCACTCGTCGCCGGAAAACCAGCCGCCCACGCTCCAGTCACCACCACACCAACCTACAGCACACCAACCAGCGGCACAACAGCCACCAGCACAACAGCCGCGGAGAGGCTCAAAGCGCCGTCAGACGTCCCCCAGTCTGGCCGACCATGAGCCAAAGCGACGAGTGCGCACCAAGTTCACGCCGTCCCAGCTGTCGATTTTGGACGCCTCCTTCGCACAGGGACGGTACCCCTCTAGTGCGCAGCGTCTTCATCTGGCGAATAAATTAGGACTCACCGACTTATGTGTTCAGGTAAGCGATATTCAAACACAATCAGTACAATGTCATGTATTTCGCTGAGTTGTGTACAAACTTAGAAGAATAGAAAATTGTAAAACTCTATACCCGTAGGTCGTGATATCGTGTCACGAGTGGATAGTAGCAAAACATGATGGATGAGTACATAGTAGTTCACGTCGGGGTAGTAAGGCTATTCAGGACAGCTCCAAGAAGTGCTGAATGCACCAAGGTGCCTCAGACGGCAAAGGCAAACAACACATTCTGCTCAAACGCATCGTGCCCTTCTATGCCTTCTGCGAAGATCCAAACATAATTGTCACTAGCGATAGTACTTAGCAGGAAGAAAAGGAGGTCTTGGACTCCCTGGAGATGAACAAAGCCTGTGTCATGTGGCATTTGGGACTGCTTAAAAATATGTATATTGAGCCTCCTAAGACGACTTGAGAGAAAGGCAAAAGCCTCTCTTGCATTGCCTCTGATACATGTTGGATATGGTAGTAGTTGTCGAGTAATTCTGATCCTGTAATCCAGGTTACATTTGAATACGTTGAGTTCTTTGTCCATTGTTGTTCTCCCATTCTGCTGATTGAGATTAACACTTCGTGTCGAGTAGAGTAATATAAAGAATGTCCCCTTGTTTGATCATTGCTTTTCGTCTGGCATGCTGAACCAGAGCAAAGCAGTTTGTCCGCTCTCGGTATTTCAAGTATGTGTAATAAAACTTTATAGCTATAATTTTGTATTCAATCCGAGGGATTTCCCGCACCGGCAGCCCCCTTCTTCTTTCATTTTCCATTTTCATTTCTTTGAGGGAAAGATGAAAACGGAGACAGTCTTAAGAAAATTGTCTATCACCGCTAGGACTCGAACCAGGGGCTCTGGCTTATGGCCAGCGATGCTCCAACCACTAAGCTATGGTGTAACATTCATCCAAGCAGCGACCATTCGACAACTTCTTCAGACAATTTGCGTTAGCAATTCTTTCACCCTTCCTAGGACTAAACAGCAGAGTCCCTGGGAGACGTGATGGCAAAGAAAGCTATGTTAAACGTAGGTAAAAGCAAGCGTGTCTAAATCGGTTCTAAGCCATGGAATTGGAAAGATGTACTTCTTAATAATTTTAGAGAAATATCACTGCATGTGCGTTGTAAATGGCCATTGCTCACAAAGGTTACAGACGCCTGCTGCACACAGTCAAACTGAGGCTGCACGGCTACTATCCGTGTTCGTGTACCGTTTTAGTGATGTAGCGTGCGTGGAGTGACCAAATGTGCAGAGTATGTATAGGGTTCATCATCATACTTACATAATATCATTACAGGCAGTCGATCAACATAAAACAAGATTACCCTCAGTCTTCATCTCCCATCCTTGGATCCAATGCGATGGGTGGTGTGGTACATGATGATTGTGATTGCCTAAAGCTCGCACGTGTCTGTAATCTGGACGTCATGCTGAGGTGCATGGATGCGCGGCCTGTTTCAAGGTGTACGAAAACTGAGCAAACTTTAAACCCCGCTGCCGGCCCAAAACGTGCTGCTCTATGAAGCATCCATTCCAATGTTGGATGCAATCAGATAGTGAGAGAGGGAGAGCTAGAGAGAGACAGGCGAGAAGATTGAGCTGTAATAGGCTCACTAATATTGTGCAGTACGTTAGAATAGAGACATTCTCTGAAATACAATTATTTTCTTTTTGGTGAAGTAAGTGCGTTTGTGCTCATTAGCGTTTGGATGCGACTGATTGTTGCCCTGTGGTTGCGGATACGTGCGTATTCATTCCGCTCCTGATAGCAATTCCCGTCTTCTGTTCTGTTCTGTGTATTTGTATTTATTATTTAAAGGATTTCCCAAAGACATAGCCTATCGGGGGGGGGGGGGGGGGGGGGGATGTGCGCGTTGTATCTTTATCGCCATCAAAAGGGGATGTGAATGCAATACAACGACTGCTGTACATCGGGATGTAACATAAGCTATAATTATATGATTCAGGTCTACCCTCGTTAGTACGACATCTGTACAGGTCAACCCTCGTTAGTACGACATCGGGTACAAGACACACCACATCAGTAGACAACGAGCGGAAATCTCCTGACGCCTGAAACCCATGTTACAACCGTCGTACATGCAAGTCCGGATAGCAAAGACTACATTTTTTGAAACCCATGGTAGTGTCTACTAAGAAGAGTACTAACGAGGGTAGACTATAATAGGGTTTTGTTTGCCCCGAGCTACATATAGCTGTTGTTTGGCGATTGTTCGTTCACCTCAGCGGAGTTTAGAGTGTTTTTCCGCACCGATCCCAGCGACGCGTGGGGAACAACAAAGCCTTCTTTAATCATTTCAAAGCATCTCAGATTGGGTGGAATAAATTACCAAAGTTACTCCATGGAAAGACACGTTGAAACTTCCGCGTGTGTTCTTCTCTTAGCTGACAACTGTTATTTTCGTCCGAGAGCGACTTGAATACAGTATGTGTTATTACCGAAGAAGAAAAGGTTCGTCAAGAGAGATTTGCCAGTCGATAGCCGCGAGCGATCGACCACGTTCTCTCAGATGTTTATCAGTAATCTGTGGTCGACGCTGGTGCCAAACCACAAACGCCCGCGTCTGGCAGTGACACGGGTATACATGTACATGCTGCATACAAACACACATGAACAGGTGCGTTTACCTGACCTATGATTGCTCAGGTAAATGCTAGGTATGTGTACTCGATCTGGCGTTCACAATCGAGACGTAGAGACGTAGAAGGTGATCATCGGTCCACCATCAGCCCAGGGACTGATACCAGCTGTCCGATGTCGCTGCGGCCCTCCTTATCCTGTGGTCCAGGCACGGACGCGAACGTGTCTTCATGTTGTTGATATCGATGGACGAGTCAAGCTGGCAGATTCATGTACATACCACTGTGTGTAGCGCGGCCGGGCGGAAGATCTAATTACTTTCCATTGTGTCTGGTTGAAGTAACGGCGAAGGTGTGCACATTGATTACATCAAGCAAGCAATTAGACATAGTATCTCCTACCCCGCCGCGTAAACAACTCCCGTGCTCCTATAGTCGGGTACCATTACCCAGTGAAATAGAGTAATCAATCACACACACACACACATGCACTATCACTATCATTGCCACTGCAGCCTAGGCATTAGGACGGCTAGCCGGCTCTGCAGGTTTGAAAGCTATGGCCCGGCATACCGCCAGTGTGGCTTGTGTACGTAAACGTTAATGACCAGGGTATGTTTCAACACAGTTCACACGGATGTCCATTCTCAGGACTTTGGCGTCAGCACTACTCCAAATGGAGGCATGTTACATGAAATCCTCCTGCCAGTACTAGCAACAAAAAGGCGGAATTACCATCAGCTACAATTGTTCAGTTCTAGTAGGTTTTGTTCTGCCGCGACGTTTAACTCGCAATGTGTTTGAACACTTGATGCTCGACTGCGAAATGTTAAGGTTGGAACCCTTCGGCGAAATCCAGCAGAGTGAAGAGGTATTTTGGGAAATGCAATGGGATGACAGGTCACGTAGGCAAAGAGCTTCTGAAAAGGTATGCTAGCTTGGCGCAAGCAGATCAGGAACACGCTTTTGCAGCAACACTGATTGCGTGTGAGCCACCTAGCCAAGTTCCATGTCTCATATGACAAAGTATCCACTGACATACTCCTGCGATTGCGTGCATATTCCACATGTTCATCAGCGTGTTATCTGAGCCCGGGGCGACACGAGGGCTTGGCCACTATTATGTGGCATTCAGCAGTTCAGGAGACGAAACGTACAGAGGAGGTTCGGGCTGTGGGGGCAGCAAATGCCGCTGTCAAGGTGTCGCCACTTGCTGCCAAAGCGTTTTGCTGGTCCTTACATGTTTCCGAGTCAATCTACTATTCAGCCTGTCGCCACTTCATTATCATGCTTGTTAGTTACTTAATATGTAGGTGCAATACATGTGTACAAGAGTGATGAATCACAGTCTTAACTTAACAGGCACGGGAATATCACGTGTGTACTGTTCGTGCGTATACGTACACGTACACACAACGTCATGTTGCTTTTCGGAGTACTAGTACATGTACAGTGTACATTTAGTTGTGGTAGTACTGTACTGTCATGTGTACATTGAAGATTGTCATGCACTCTCGAAGTTCTGTGTAACTGCAGTATAGGGGTTTTCAGCAGAAATCAGTCAGTCACAGTGTGATAGCCAATGTTCTTACCATGGGTATAATCCCCCAAAGAGTGTGCAACTCCTGATAACCTTTCTATGGGGTTCGGCGACAGCGAAAACTCACATCACGTGGTGTAGTGTCCCTGTGGTACTTTTCCAGCCCGTTTTTAGCGAGCAGCGGAGTAAGTTTTCGCCGTCGGAGACCCCATATTACTAGTTGCACATTGGTGGGGCCGGGGTCTTCTACAATCTCGGGGGCTTATACACTCTCGGGGGGGGGGGGGGGCTTATACACTCTCGGGGGGGGGGGGGGGGGTTTACACTCTTGCCCTTACTAGGACTACTACAGCTGTGCATATAATGTGTCTCAGGTGTACATGAGTATGCTGGGTTATACGCGCGGCCGCCACTGACCCTCTGCTTCCCTGTTCAGTGTGCATGTACATAATATTATGACAGTACATGTGCAGGACCCTCAGCTAGACATTGTCCAGCTGAGGATCCTGCACATGTGTCCAAACAATTGTTGACCCTTGTTGATAAGACTGTACAATGATAGCCTAAGAAGAAAAGAGGAGCAAAGAGCTACACGTTACGCTATAATATCCACTAACACCACCACTAACACCACCAGTATAAATTATTCTTTGGCTCTCCACCCGAGTCTAACAGTGATAACGTGACAATACTAATGAAGAACGCAAAATTGCCCTGTCCAAACCGTTTCTGGTTGGATATGAAGCCGAGACATCGAATGGTCGGAGCTCTCCAGACCTCCCACCACTACTACTGTGCACCATGGGCTTGGGTTTTTTTCTCCTACACTTTTATGCTCAGCATTTTA